TCCATAGATTTCTGGCCCAGGGAAACCCGTTTGATCTTCCGTACTTAAGCAGTTAATCGGCGGATTAGTAGCTAGGTAGGTGACTACTAGCGAATACCCGCTGTCGTATGTTTTTGTTTTGCAAATTTTTATTTTTACCCACTTCGCCTGTTACGTGGGCACGGGCCTTGGCATCTTCTTGAATATGTAAGAGCGCCCAGTTAAGCCAACTAAGTTGAGCGACCTTGATGCTGCGATTTCCATGTATGCTGGGTATGTTTTTTGCTCTTTATAACCGAAAGAAGGATGACCAGTGGAAAAGACCAATAGGCGAACCAAAAGGGTGAGTCTTGGCGTCACGTGTGACGCAGAAAACAAAGCCTCTGACTTTCACTATCGAGCCCTTAAAAATCAGCCTGTGGAGTCGTATGTCCAGTGTGACCTTCAATCTTCACTTGTATCCATAGATTACTACTAATTTATTTCCTTGGCCCGCGCATACAGGAAAGGTTGGAGATCTAACAAGATATAGCTAGGATTTCGATAAAAGGTGAACACAAAAGATTCTTGTGCCCTATTTCCATAATAGGATTAGCTCTGTTCAATAGATGTAATAGCTTGAGGTAAAGCTAAATTCCTAGCGGCAGCGAGAGTATGCTGAAGCTCTGGAGATATAGTGAGTGAGGTGGACGTGCTTGTGTGTAGCGGGATAGCACTTCTCATGGCATTGTTGAGAACTTCAAGATCTTATTTGGTAGGCGAATTATCTTTCCCTGGGTACCAATATTTTTCGGTTGATAAGAGACGTGTATTGGGCTGAACTCGCACACTGTTCCCGTCACTGGAAAAGAGGTACGTCTTGGTTTGACGGGTTTCAATGAGCATGCATACAATGTTCCCTGTATCCATTATTACTACTAATAAAATTGCGAAGTAAAATTATTTTTTGGGATCTGCTGGCGATTGCAGCTATATAACGGTATATGCGCTGACCGTATCTTGGAGCCTTCGCCATCCAGTCGTTAACTTCTTCATCTATCGCAGCAAACCCCGCAACGACCTAGCTGTTGAAAATTACCACTCTCGATCAATTGTTATTTTTGTGACCAGACTTCGCTTCCAATATGGCGACAAACAGCAGTCATGTTAGGATATGGCGAACGCCAATGTACTTGAGCTGTCAATATTGTTCGTCTGGCTAATCTGGGTCCTCTGATTGCCCATTTACCTTGCACTTTTGGCTCCCTGCCATGAGCCATCTGGTGTTTGGCACAGAACTAGGGAATATAACCTCTTTGTGGAAAAGCCTCGTTGCGAGACGCTGTAGATATTCAAAGGATTGATGTCCAAACGCTACACTGGCGGAGTGGGTGGAGCAGAGCCGATCAAGGAACCTACCTGCGCCATGAAATGAGACATTTTCAGGTCTAACACTTCAAGGTTTTCCATCTCAAAGACAAGCCATGTTAGGGGCTCAGATGTCCCTTGTCCGCCATCGAGCCCAGGAGCCACGTCTTCTTGATGCAGTTGACGAGATTGACAGCATATAGTGTTAAAAGAGCAGTGGCTCGTAACTGTATCAAGGATTAGGTCAAGAGTTGCGCCTCGTGTATGCCGCTGTATGACAGTTTTTGTACCTCACTTTCCCCCAAGACAGCAGCGTTAATATTAATTGCCTCATGACAGACGTACGGGATGTAGTTGGAATTGGAGTTGAACAAGTGTTGAGATCGTACGCGAGGGTTTGTTTTACTTATGAGCTGGTGATGAATGGTGAAGAGAAGGCTTGTAGGCCAAGTGGGGCTTAGCGGCCTGACTCGAAAGGGTGGGTGAACGCCATCGTGAACATGAACATCACATCGTTTTTGTAGTCTCTCGTAGTGAATTTTTTGCCATATATTGGCTTCATTTGCGCCTCCCAAGAAGCCACACATGACTTCAATACAACACCGCTGTAGCCAACAAAAAGCCTCCTTGAAAGGTGAAAAATAATTCTTTGTCTCATTGTCTGTAATATCAAATCTACCAGAACGCTCGTACCTATGGCTATGTCTCATTCTGTATTTCTTTGTCTTACACCTTTACAGCGCCATACGCACTTAGATCATTCCACGCGAACAGAAGGACATCCTTTTCAATACAACTCTTATACTTCAGTAGCACCCCTTCTGCGAATCACTGAAGTGCTGAGTTCACGTTTCAGATCCTCGATAGATAAAAGAAGCGCTTGTAGCGATCTCAAAACATTCGCGATAGCGCAGTTGAGCAAGTCCGATACATAAGGATGGCTATTTCGAAGATAATCGCCAATCCCTTCAGAAAGAATGACAACCGCGTGAAGCGACATACGCATAACACCAAATGGGTAGCTGATAGGGATAAGATGATAAGAAAGCAAACAGGCTCCAAAGCTCGTTTGGAGCAATTCTCAAAATCACCTTTGAGCCGCAAGAATCAAGAGGCGTTTTATTCCAGTGACTCAGAAGCTCATACTCTTTCTCTGGAGGAACTCCAAGTTGGAATTGAGAAGACAAACATCTCTGACAGTTCTATAACAAGGTATCGCTCTGGAAAGAACATGTACAACTCCAGATTGAAAGGCGAAAACCAAGCAATATCGACGGCATGGAAGTCTTGTCAACAACCACATAGTGAAGGCATCCTTGATCAATATACTGATCAGAACGCATCGAGCCTGTATCAAATGCTTCCGGAATCCGATAGTTCGCTGCATTCACACCGCCATGCAGTGGTTTTTTCAGTATTCCCGCCAGAAACAACTCATAGATACCATGAGAAAAATGAAAAAGAGACTAGAAACAAGCACGCAAGAAAAGACGTTGGAATCTTACAGTTCTACGCTGAACTACCTACATCTATTGAAAAATGTATGACGCAATCTGTTGATGTGAACAAGCCTCTACCCCCGGTACCGCGCATCAAACCAGCACCAAAGCCGATCCGAACGGCAGGTCTTCCTTCTTCACCTCAACCCGCCGCACACCTCAAAAATATCAAAACATCGTCCAAGAAACCCCAGTACAAGAATGAAGCGAGTCCTCAATGGTGGGCAAGACCTCGCCTGAAAATCCCTCAAGCAACCCTGAAATCCAAAATTTCATTCCCAGACCTACTCATAGCTTCTAAAAGCGGCTCAATTACGAACACTTCTGCAGATACTGTCTACATCCCAATTAAACACACCGACGCCCTACTACCTCCATCGCCATCTGAAATAACATTCAGTTCAAAGCACACCGTAAAGAAAATACCGCCATCGCCTTTGCACGCTCCAGCGTATGGTCCCACATGTCCAACTAACACCGCAGATATTAAGGTAAAAAGAAAAGCAATTGCGATACGAGACCATATGCCCCCAACACACTGGCACGATGCTTTTGTAGAATCTGCATGTGGTGCTAGTAAGTTCATCAAACAGAGTGCGAAGGAGAAGTTGGATGGAGTAGTGCATGTGAGTCGAAGAAGAAAAGGCTCGGATGTCAGCTTTATGTGTCGGGGTGTAGGGAAAGGAGGGCTTGATGCGTGCGACTAGTGCAAAGAAAAATACGGCATCGTTGCTGCCTGGCTGTTTGTTTGTATTGGAAGCTATTGGGTCTCATAGCCCTGGGTGGGGATCGCCGTAAGTTCGAGATTGCAGCTCTCCCTATGGACAGCTCAGATCGCAACCATTTGCTTCGCACAAATCAAACCTGAGAGCGGGAGCTCCGAACTGCCTAACGTGAGAGATTGATACTTATGTATCACCCAGTCAGTGTGCGAATCTGAAATCCAACCGCTTCATACCCTCGTCTTTTGTCGTCAACAAATAATCCTGCTGCTCCTCCTTTGTCATTGCATTCCATCTCCTTTCTCTTACTTTGTTCCTCCAGATGTAGAATAGCTTTACTAGATAAAATAGAACGATATTGAAGGAGCAAATGGCAAGCAATATCTTATTGCCACGTCGATAGAGAGGCTTGTCGTCATCGCGGTAGATGTTCGTTGAGATGATGTTTCCTGACTGGACAAACATATTGTAAAGAGCAGCAGAGACGGCCCGCGTTCGAACGGCATTGCTGTTCTTAGCGTTCCAGCCCACAAGGATAGCGTGACAATATGGGTAGCTTAGAAGCCCAGTAAGCAATGCGTATCTAGTCCAAGGACTGGCGTTTGAAGGCAAAGTTACTAGACCAACCAGCCAGGGGAAAATCCAGATATTGCTAATACTGCTGATAATGGCTCGCTCCTTCACTTTCTCGGAAACCCAAGTGAGGATGAGCAATTGGACGGCAAACAGGAATTGTGATGGAATCGTGAGCAAGTTAGCTTTGAAGACGGAAAAGCCGAGCTGTCGCAGGATGTACGATAGATATGTGTTTGGTGGAGCAGGAGGGATGTATGCCGTCAAACCAATAATGTAGAGCGGCCACTGCTCCCAATCGAAGCAGGATTTCAAAAGATGGCCAACGCCAACGGCTTGACGATTGTTCATGTCGCCTTTGGAAGGGCTACTAGAGTCAGCACTGTAGCAAAGGTACATGTTCTGCCACTTACTCGTCACGGAGGACTCTGTTGACAAGGATATATTCCTCGTGCTCAGTGAACCATCCGTTCTTGCCTCGAAACCAGTGCTTCGTTTGAGTCGGGCCAGGAGGCATTAGCCCCCAGGACAGAATACCAATAAAGCAGGTGATGACACCCTCGATAAGGAACCTGGCATACCACTCAGCATCGGCTCTCACAATCAGATCAAGTAGCATACAAATACTGCCATCCTGACCAGCCGTTGATGCCCCTCATCTGCAAGACACCAGCTGCAATCAAGGATCCAGCAATTTGACAAGTGCTAAGGGCGGTCCAAAAGAAAGCTAACCGCTTCGGCAGTTCGTTAGATTTCTAAGGCAAAGTTAGAACAAGTCTAGCAAATGACGCCAACTGCACACGCACGAAATAGTAGGTAAGCCATAGAACGATATCGGGGATAAAACCGCCCATTGCAGCTCCTAGTAAAAAGCGGGTTACATAGTATGCCGCTTTTGACTTCATTGCCGCCTGAGATGCGCTGACAATTGACCACGCGCAAATGATGAAAGGAATCCATCGATCGGCGCCGAGTGCCTTACTAATGAGGCCACTCGGAAGCTCCGCTGCAAGGAACGAAGCGAGAAAGATCTATATATAATTAGACTTGCTATTAGATAGATAAGTAGTGTGAGAAGTACCGTTTGTCCATAATTGAAGTCATTGGTGGTCATGTCTGGGACAAAGTAAGCTACTTGCAGTGCGTTTCTCTCACCCTCTCACTTACTCAACTCTTCCAACTACGAATACGATTAACTAAGTCATCGTAGTTAGATGATTAGAAAGAAAACTTACCATGTTGTCGGAAATAGCGCGATTGATGTTTTTCCTGTTCAAGTCCAGGGCACAAAACATCAGCCAAGCCCAGAACGTGATCCTGAGATCGAGCTGCCAAGCCGTCAGCGCTATGTTTTCTAGCTCTATTGAACTATCCTTGCTTACTCTACGGACGAGGCGCTTCTCTTCTTCGGCCGTCCACTTGTAATTTGGATCAAATCGATGTCGGTTCTCATATTTGTTTTGCTCGTAGACCTCTCGCCAATATTCTGCAACAACGGGATCACTAAAGACATGGTTGTCGCCAGAGTCTCCGTAGAGCTCCTCATTGTCCCTGGAATCCATGATTGAAGATCCCGAGTCCGTGTGTTTGGATACGGGTGCCTGCTTCTTGCCGCCACCTAGTCCCGCCATCGTGCCCGTTGGCTAAGAAAAAGTAACCAAAAAAGATGCAGGTGAATACAATTGACAAACAGAAATCAGGGTTCTGAGACGCACATGTGGTGTCTCCGAGCATCTCCGGGGCACTGTATTTAACCTATTCGAAAATACTTCTCCTCAAGACGCCGCCACAATGTCGCAACATCAACAGAAATTGACACCATGTTCGAGCGATCCAGACACATCACTTTGCCGAAGCTACAATCGGCCAAGGAGCGCCAGAAAGGTGTACCCAAGTGATACAAGAAGGACTGTGATTGGACATCGCCCCTCTTATCTGTGAATCCACTGCCCTCAAAACCGAGATCTGCTATTCAGTGACAGTCATGGCGTCACGCACGGCTCGGCAGCAGTCTGACAGCTTGAGAGAAGCCGGTACTATGGGTCCGGTGGCTTCAATGCCGAACTAAACCCTCTATATGTATGCCCTACACTGTAACCACAACCATCTGCTAGCCACTCAAGGTAGCCCTCCGAGATAGCGCAATGCAGGACCACAATTGTGGGATGCAAGCTGGACAAATTTTCCTGGATGGGCTTGATCAGAGTCTCCATTAGTTGCTGGAAGGCGGCGTTATTGATGGGGGGTGTGGTGTTCACGTCAATTTCTCAAGAATGGCGTCAGGAAACCCCATGCGCGCCAAGGCCAACGCGTAGTATTCCCGCATACAAGGGACCAACCCCACAACACAACACGAGGGGCGAGTGCCGACTTCACTGTTTGTTTGTTTTTTCGAGAATTTGGTTGAGATGCTGTTGCTCGTGTGTATGTATAAATATACTGATTGGCGGATCGTAGTACCGGTATTCAGGTAGCTGACCCAGAAAGCACGTGGCGATTATGCGCATGCTGAGATCTCACGGTGTAGATTGCAACGGATGTCATGGATATTTTACTTGGCAACGGCATTTTTATTTATTTCCGGGATGATCGGTGGGCACGTTTGACGAACACAAAAGCATACTCTTTTCCGAACGCACGGTACTCATCGCGTATACATATATATCTGCGAAGAGGCCCGCAATCTGACCGGTGATAAACTCGAGCTTTGTTTTCAAATTCTTCATTTTGACAATGTCACGTCTATGTGGGAATGTAAATCTCTGAGACAACAGATATTTCGCTCTCTGTGCGCTCAAATGATGTGATAAAAGCAGTTCTTGCCATCATACGCAACTCAAAAATAGTACAACCACTACTGCCATGACGCATTTATAACCCGTTATATGGTTTCCGGTGCTATGTAGTCATTAATTGTCAGTGGGGCTTGTGTTATGACCACTGTTCTTACACATCCATCTTGACGCACGGAGAATCTTGGAGGCCAATTTGTCTTCAAAGCTACCGCGCAGATCAGGCGGGTCCTTTACTACTGCCTTCGTGGTATGATACGTAGTGAGAACATAAAATATCCCTTTTTCTCTTTCCAAACATACATACTCGATTCCATTCTGATAAGCTGAAAGGCAGATCTAAGACTAGATAGCCCTGTTCTGGATTAACAAGTAAATGCATAACTTTGGTATGATCTCCGCTCTGCAAAACGCGTATGGAAGCTCAACACTTGGGCTGTGGTGCCCGGCAAACCAATTCCTAATTCATAAACTCTACGCATACTGCAGATAATGGTTTACACCCTCTGGCGGAACTCGTCTAGGAAATCCTATACTCCAATCTCATGCGTCAGCTGACAGATTTTGTTCACAATGAACGTCACGAGACAAGCTAGTGTCGCTTGACAAGACGTATAAATCTTTTCGTCATTGGTACACCTGAGTGTTCTGTTAAATCTCCTGACTGATAATCGACATGTACTAGCAAATAAGTCTCCTGGCCGCGAAGTATGGTAAAGGTATGGTAGTGGTCGTACGGTCTACGATTAGGGGTATGGTAAGATTGCCAAGCGTTGGGTAGTAGCAAGGTAGGTTCTTACATAACTTCAACCCTACCGAACGCTTGGCAATCCTACCATACCCTTACCCCCAACCATTTACCACCGTAAATCGACGATACAATTTTAGATGAATTGAGTCAATTTTCCTAATGCATTTAAACCTGAAAGTTGGATCTGTAAAAAAGGTGTCAATTTTCGCTAACATAGTCAGTGCTCCAACATTTCACTCTGACTTTTCTTTTCATCTTAGAGCATACATTTCTTACTCCGACCCAATCAACATATTCTTCTCCCGGTGGAACTGAGTCGCTGGGTGATAGATTCTTCTTCAAGATATAGGTTCGTTTTTCGAATTGTATAGTCTTGTAGGCTGATGGATAGACGCGTAGAGGTTTGGAAGATATGCATGTTAGGTCTATACATAGACAAGATTGAGCACTGTCTATTCTAGAAACAGACTCGCTATATTATGAGTAGTAATACTGTCATGGAAGAAAGCAATCTTAATGATCCGCTATAATGTTAATTCTACGAAGCGTGTATGAACATTGCTAGCTGTTCAGCTATTAGTCCGAAAGTGCACGATATTCATGGAGGGAGTCAAAGTACCATTGAAACAACATTGACTTCTAACTCAATCATTTGTCTTTCATAGCCCTAGTATCTAACCCGTACAAAGCATTAACATCGCCCTCTCGTTCCTAAGGCTATCTTTCAGTAAGTAGATCAAGAAAGACTCTTAAGCTGCATGCCTTACAGGCGCACACATCGCATCCCTTCTTCAAAAACCCACTTATCTAACGCCTATTCTGCTCCTTCGAAATTCACAAGCAGCCTCCCACCCCAACTACCAACAAGATACCGATATGATGTGTTAAACGGGTATAAACAAGCATCCAAAAACCTCGTCTCAACACACCCACCCACCCCCTTCATAGATCCAATAACTGTTCGCATACACACACCGCAGTGCCCCTTAGAACTTCCTTCATCGCCCCAATCCCGGGCATGACGGTGGATACGGAGTTCCGGCGGGCCAAGTATTGCCACAGAAGCCCACCAAGCAGTCGTCAATGCATTGCTCGGACCAGCATTGCTTGTAGCAATTGCAGTATCCCGAGCTGCAGCCCAGAGCCCGGTTTTGTAGTTTGGCGCCCCAACGATTACGCGTACCGGCGTTACCCGCGTAAAATGACTCTTGTCAAGTGGTTAAGCAGCTGCTCATAGAGCTGTGAACTCCTAATATAGCCTGACTGCAGGTATAGCAAAGCAATAGCTTCCCGTCTTGCGCCTACTTTCATTTCTTCAACCGGACGTCTTACACGCTAATATGTTATTGCACAATAGAGTTATATTAGCTTCACTAAGTTCTCTAGCTGCCAATACCGCTCGGTGAAATAAAGAAATTAAAGACATGATCACGTGATGAAGCGCTAACCAAAAAGGTACTAAATGGGTGGAGAGCCAAGAGTCCTACTACGGGGAAGTCTGAATACCTTCGCCTTCATCAACACCTGTCAGTGCATGCAGTTGTAGCTTCTGCCCAAAGGTTGCTAGTAACCCTTAGCACCGGCACCGTTTATATCTTCAAAATAGCAGATTGTGAATTGACGATCAGGCACATCCGAAAATAAACCCTAGGGAGATCAGGCGTGTACTTCGTAGTTTCCCGGGTGTCCTCGGAGCGCCCTGACCAAGGACTCGTAATTAGTGAGTTGCGTAATTTGCACGGCCCGATTCCGAGCTTCACAGCTGCACCACGATACATCGCTTTTGATGATAGATATTATTTGAACTAAGTATGATATGCGGCTCAAGTTGCAACAAGTGACATACTGTGTAGGTAGGATAGTTTATTAGTCCAAGCAAATAATGTTCTCGAAAAAGAAAGTGCAAAATAACCTAAGAAACATATATCAAACCATTCATAGATGGTCCCTAGCAGATGAGGGGAAAGCAACTAATCTACATACCGATAGATCCAATCTTTCTAGTATGTAAGGTGACCAAAGTGTTAGTTATTGACTGCTCTCCCCTCTCCCCGTACCTTACATCATATCCCTACCTAAGCATCCTTTGGGTCTATCACTGCCATGTCCTCTAGCTTATCTACCAAAATTCATGCCATTCTCCAAATGTGAGGTGACGATGACAGTTGAATGCACGGTGGAAGTGTGTTGATAAGACTTCGGAAGGTGGCTTTGTTCGTCCACGTGACTTTTGCCAAGACCATCTGCTCTTCTCGTCAAGCGACCAAGTCCAGGCTAGTTTCCTGGCCTGTTTCCGTCACGCGAAGAATAGAGGGATGTTGTTTTAGATTTGATGTTGAGTATAATGAGAAAGAAAGTTACCAAAGGCAGTGCGCGCTACAATGTAATGTAGCTCGAGAAGAATGCTGACCATGCAATAGGGCAACAAAGGCCAAGGTGTATTATAGCAGACCTGGTCTTCTCTCAGGAAGCATCATCTCTCGCGCGCGCGACGGCTACTAAATTCCACATCAATGTACAGTTTGCTAATTATAAAGGCGATTTTGCGGCGGGCCGGCATTGGGAAAATGTTGGTTGGTTTTTGCATCGTACGAGGACAAGATTTTTCAGGCGGCCAAAGGGCCAAGGAAAAGTATGCGTATATTGAATTGAGAGTATACATCTGCCTGCATGATCAATATCGAAGAGACAAGGGACAAGGAAGATTCAGACGAGCAAGTATCCAGAGTCGAGGAAGCGAGGCTAAAAGAGGGTAAAATTGTTTCGAAACAGGCTGCACGGCCGGGCCAGCTGGGGGATCCGCGCTGCATGCAGAGAGAACGGTTGGCCCCAGTGCTGGTTAATTATGGGATTTGGGATTCGACGAAGTGTGGGCAAAGGGATATATTTAGGTGGGATTAGCCCATCAACTAGAGGTAGCGCACACACGGCCATGTCATAGCTGGGCCATCAGCGTGTTGGTGCTACCCCACGACGCAGCCAGCAACGGGGGGCCAAGAATAAGCCTGCAGTCAGTGAGCAAGAAGCGAAACAAAACTACCGCAAGACAGCTAGTGGGCGGACGATGTGCAGATAGAGAGCGGTTTGCGGGAAGGTGGCGAAGCGGCTCGGGGACTAAGCAGCAGAGGGTGCAGGAAACATGTTTGTGAGAAGAGCACATGTAAGGCCAGACGCGAGGAGCCAGGATGCAGCTGCGCTCACATGACTTGGCAGCGGCATGGTGTCGTAGAAGCAGGGCGCAAGAGCGAGAGCGGAGCTGGGGTGCTGATGGATTGCGTACGCGTGCACCGGGGCAGTTTGAAGCTTTATGTCGGACAAGCTGCGGGCGTACGAGGACTGGAGTCAGCGAGTCGGGCGTTGGTGAGGCAGCGAGCGGCGATGCAGCAGTGCTGTCAGGGCTGATGGTGGTTGTGTGTGGACTGGATGGACTCGAGAGCATCAGCGGCAGTGGATTGGATTCAGCCGAGTGGGCCGCTAACGCAGTGGGACGGCGCTTGCAAACCTAAACCGGCCTAGCCCGCTGTTTTCTCATGCGTCGCCCAACCACTCAGCGGCTGCAACCGCCATGTTACATTTTGCCCATTTTGCGGGCGTCAAATGTCTACCAGTAATTGGGTATCAGCCATTTCCATGCCCTGCCTCGCTGCACCAGAATCCTGGGCACAAGGCGCTCCCGACGACACGCCCCCGCCGCCCGTCGTCCCATGGCTGTTTCCTCGGTGTTTCCTCGACTTGGGCCATGCTCTCTTAACGTCCGAAGGTGCTCCAGACGCCAGAGGTACATGCACCCGTCACCTCCACCTCTGACCCATCTTACGTCGGCAGAAAAAAAGAAAAGAGGAACAAAGACAGAGTCAGAAGGCAATCGAGAGCGACAGCGTTGCATATTGCCACGCTGACCGACAGGATAAGCCCAAAGTATTGCAGTCACGTCTGCCCATAAACCAAGCTTCTGGCCGCATCATCTGTACATCCTCCATCGACTTCTCCCGGGCGTCTATTTCGGGCCACCACTCGCCTCGTTGCTCTGCGCGCCATTGGCATCCACCTCGTCTCCCCAGCCGGCCTATCATACGCGGGCCTGCAGTCGTGCCAGCTGCCAGCCTCTAGCCGCCATACATTTAGAACGTTGTAAGTACCCGCCCGCTTTGCCATCTTCTCTCTCCCTACCTGCTACTATCCGTGCTCCCCACTTATCCAATCCTCGCCCGTGGCCGCCTTCCAAGCGCCCCGACAACAAAAGCCCAGCGCTTCGCCCACTTGCCACACTTTTTCCTTTTCTCCAGCAGGTCTCTTATTGTAATTCGTCGTGTTTCTTCTATCATCCGTCTCCTGTAGCCTTTCTCGCGACTGGTCTTAGCTGGGCTGGATTATAGTCGTCGACGTTGTGGCACTGTTCTCTTTCTACTTCCCTTGCCCCCACTTGATGCCATTCCCCATTGCCCTCGAGTAAAACTCGCATATCCTTAGTATGGCCGCCAACGACAAGAAGCTTACCCATATCACCATTGAAAGACGAAGCTCCAAAGACTCTCTCGACGTCAGGACACCACGTGCAGCCCGCTTCGCAGAGGCAACATCGGTTCACTCGCCCATTGACCCTCCTCGGTCACCAGTCGAGTACCCAACAAACCACTACAAGCCACAGCCCCAGATCGCCGACACAGGCTTCGGCTACATGCAATCAGTCGAGATGGAGGAAACCGACCGAAGGTACCTTCCTCCCCCAACGCCAAAGACGCCCCTCAAGAGCGCCTTGAAGTCGCCTGGTGCTCCTCCACGGACCCCAGCCGGCGCAATGTCCATCATGAGCCCTACCTTTAGGGAAGAGCAGCAGCTTGAGAAGCGCGAGGCCATGACCGAAAAGGAGCAAGCAAAGGATCTGGTGTGTTTCTGAAATCCCTATTTATGCCACGTGCATTCGCTGACACCAACCAGAAAATCAAAGTGCGCGTACGATTAGCAAAGATCTTCCTCCGAGGCGTCAACTTTGCCTGCTCTCTCATCGTTCTCTCCATGCTTGCAACCTCATTTTCCATTTTCAACGCCACCAAAACCCTGTCCCCACGCAACGGTCTACCTCCATGGGCTGACAACACCAAAACCTGGCCCCAGATTCTCCTGCTAACCATTGCCTGCATTTCCCTCGTCATGTCCATCCTTGTCATCATCGCCTATTGGAGAGGAGGTCATCATCGGGCCGAAAAGGTGGCTGCCTACTACACTGTCTTCGCCGTTGGAATCTTCATCTTCAGCATCGTCATGTGGGGTGTTGGTGCAGCCGCCTTCAATCAAAGTAAAGCGCAGAGCAACAACAAAGACATGTGGGGTTGGTCGTGCGTTGACAACAAGCGACGACATCTCTTTGAGGATGACATTGCCTATGGCCTTGTCTGCCGTCTTCAGGTACGCATCATTCCATTTGCTCATTCTACAATCGACTAACAGTGTGTCAGAACTGGGCTCTTGTCTGCTGCATCATCGAAGTCGTCGTCGAGGTCCTCGTCATTGCCATTTACGGAATCGTCTTCTACCGCTTCTGGTCCAAGCGCAAGCTCCGCAAGTCCATGGCCATGCGCGACCGCGCTCGTTCGGATCTCTACCTTGCTCAGCTGCGCTCACAGTCTGCTCCCAACACGCCTGGTTTCGGCCCAATGTCTCCTCGCTCTGGTGGCTGGCGTCCACCACCAGGCCACCCAATGTACGTGGACCCGCACTCTGCGGCCGAGAATGGCGAAAGCGACAAAGTGCAGTACGCCTATGCACGTGAAATTGCCCAGCCCCAGCCCTTCACTCTCCAGGCGCCGCCTATCAAGGTCACTGGTGCAACTCCCAAGGTTGAGCAGGAGGGCTTTGAAGCGCCTGCTCGCGCAAACACCGTTTCGCCACCACTTCCATCTCCAGCATTCCAAGAGAGGAGAAATGACCACGTTGCTGCTGCACCAGGCGAACAGCAGTACGCTGCTGTGCCCATTCCTGGTGCATATACGCCGCTAGCATCACCATCATACCCACCACCACAGCAACAGCAGCCACAAGCACCTGCTGGCTTTGACTTTGGCCCAACCGTCACCGGCCAACGATAAGCAAGCTGTTTTGGGGGTATTTTGTGATTTAGCGCGCATCCTCGTCGTTTCTCTTTTCTCTTCTATCTCATCCGGAAAATTCGCAAAAATCTTGCCATCTTACCCTCATGGCCATTGGTTTAGGCGATTTTTAAACCTGGAGTGTACATTTTTCCCCTCCCATGCGAAAGCCGGCTTTGGCCGTTTAGCCTAGCATTTTCCTTTGTTTTGTGGTCCCGCCTTACTATCGCTAACAAATGTCGATATCTGTATTTTTGTTTGACGGCAAATTGGGGATTTTTTATCTTTTCATCGCTTGATACCTTTTTTTTTAACCACGAGTAAGATTGGGCGAACTCGTCCTTGTTATCACTATCACACACACATACCTCTCTCTCTCACTCGCTCTGAACGCAGATGTATCTTTTTTGTATCGTTTTGTTTCTTGATGAGATGGACGATATGATATAGATATGAAAAGGGGGGGAGGAAACTAGGATAGTTTTCGCTTGCAAAGAATGAAGTAATGCAGACTGGAACTCTCTCTATCTCTCTCTCTCTCTCCTTCTTTTCTACATGCCTTGTTTGATGAGTTTGTGAATGATTTTATTGCTAGTGCTATACGTATCACATCGTCTTTTCCAGCCGGGAATCGCGGAGTAGTGATAGCAGTGGTTTCACGATACTCTGCAAAGAATCTACGAGAACATGCGTCATTTCCACCCGCTACGTTGCCCTTTGACGCTCTCTTCTCGTTTTTGACTCTTCACGTGATGCGCATATGTGCCAGCGTCTCGCCGGACGGGGATTCGTAACATGTCACACACTCCGTGCACATTTTCAATAAGCCGTGCTTAACCCCCCTTTGATGTCTCGTATACGTGATGGGTCGCAGAAGCGGTCGGTTTTACGCGTGTGGGTTGTGATGTTGAGTTGGAGGGGGTGCAGGCGCTGGTTGGGAGAGATGGTGTGGTGGGATGAGGCTTGGTAGGCGCGCGGGATGAGGCTTGGGCTTGGGCTCCGGATGTGGTTGGTGGATGAATGGTGTGTAATACGTGTTCTTTGCTGGGTTGAAGATGTAAGGCTTCATCTCAGCCACATAGTACTGCATGATGGCCATGACATCATCCGCATGGGCTGGTTAGGCAACAACAACCCGACACCCTTCAGTTTGTCAATTTGAAATACGTCTCTACACCTCTTACGACTGAAGAAGTACCAGATGCGATCTGAATATGACGGAAACAAAGTTATGTGAGCCGTGCCGCAGGCTGTGTATTGGGGACCTCCCAGGGTGCTACAATTCGAACTGGTGCAAGCTCGAATTAAATCACCACCTCGATTATGGCTCCTTTAAGGAGGCCATGCAGCTACCATGCTCAATCTGTTCCTTGGCATGGTTGAATGCAGAGGAAGTTCCTTGCGATTGCAGCTTGCGACAAGTCAAAGCAATGTGCTACTTTGACGGCTCTCACCGGGACCTAGGATCACTGTTATTTATTGCCTGCTATCACGATAGCAAGGAAATTGGAAGTGTTGGGTTGTTTCTTGAGCGTGTATCAAGTCCGTCAACTCAAAAATGATTGTAAATAATGGCTGATTCCTCCATAGTCTCTCCCGAAATTCCGACTGGTAACGCTCTGCCCTTGAATACCCACAAAGCCCTCCCATTTCTTAACAAGCAATATCAAGAATGCTCTGTCCACCATGCAGAATGTAGTACCCCGGATTCGGTAGAACTGAATCATTACCCATCAAGGCTCCTTGATGTTGGCCATGAGGGTAGCCCGATCATACTTCGCAGCACCAGGACGTTCACTAGTCAACAATATGCCTGCCTCTCACACTGTTGGGGCAATTCAAGGCCCTACACACTGAACTCGACAACGGAACAGGATTTGAAAAAGGGGATTGATGCAGAAAAGCTGCCAAAGACATTCCGGGATGCTATTCATGTGACTCGTTCTCTCGATATCCGTTACTTGTGGATTGATTCACTGTAGGTGATCACGTCCTTCTTATGTACATGGTATATGGGCTCACGTATGCAGTTGTATCATTCAGGATAGTGAATCAGACTGGGCAACTGAATCTAGTCGTATGGGCCAAATATACGCACGCGCAGCATTCACCATTGCAGCAACTGCTTCGAGTAGCAGTGATGGAGGTCTATTTTTTGAGAGGCAACCACAGCAGCTATTGCCATGCCTTCTAGACATTAATTTCGGTCCATATCTGACCATCTTAAAGCGTAATGGTATACCGCCTCATCGGATGGGCACTTATCTTTGCGACGTAGCAAAAATGACTGCGAATTGCATTGAAAATGCGCCACTGAATTTACGAGCCTGGGTTAGCCAAGAGAGGCAGCTTTCTCATCGGATTATGCACTTCAGCAATAAACAGCTCTTTTGGGAATGTCACAGAACCAGAACTTGCGAAACATATCCGAATGGCATTCCGCAAGTTGCATTAACATATTCGTTCAAGGATGCTACCATGTTGAAGAGATGGCTTCATGAGTTCCAACAACAAGGCGGTGCATCTTTAAATGGCAACCAAACAACACCGTACTTGGAATCAGGCTTGAATGAAAGCCTTTATGACGCTTGGTGTTCCTTTCGAGTACATTACTCCGATTGCGCACTTTCTCGGGACAGCGACAAATTAGTAGCACTCTCCGGGATAGCGAAACAGATTGGAAGTGCCACAGGAGATGAACTTGTCGCGGGGCTCTGGAAGAGTCGGATAATCGAAGAATTATGTTGGTTTAATTTACATGAAGCAACTCCCTGCAACAATCCTACAGAATGGATAGCTCCCACTTGGAGTTGGGCTACTTCCAATAGTCGGGTATGGACTTACACAGAAAGCAAAATACACAGAGATCACAAATGTCGACGCTTTGAGACAGAGTTTGTCGATCTCGACGTCAGGACAAAGCTTTCTGGAGAGCTTACACACGCATCCATGAGAATCAAGTGTAGGCCAATGCTTGCTATGGTCATACCAAATTCCGGCCCTGAAATTCCCGGACACTTTTGGAGATTTCAGCTAGTGTTCATGGACGATGATATACAACCATCAGAAGCAAAGCTTGGTGGGAAGGGTGTGTACGTCACATCGTATGTCTCCATGGATGACCCAAACTTTCGCGGGCCACAGCAAGTCTACATCATCTTGATTCAAAGATGTTTTTACAAACGACTTGTTGAGGACAACGACGAGAATAGTACCCAAAATACCCTCGAGAGCGGTATCTCAGGCGATTCTCGAGGAAATTCTGGCAGCAGTGATGAAGAGGATGAATATGATAGAAGTATACTAGAAGGTTTACTCTTGCAAGCGAAAGACAAGGCCCTAGCGACGTTCTCAAGGATTGGATACTTTCGTGTTAATGACTTGGAAGGCCTTGATGAGACCTTCGACGCTCATCTCAAGACAGAAGAACGGGTTATAACGCTCATATAGCCCTCGACTTCATGTAAATCTGCTCTTTAGCCAAACTAAAAAAAACTCCTACAGTCCCAACAAATACTCTGACTGTTTCTGATGTGAAAATCATCTACGTTAATCACTTTGCACAACAATCCAACTCCACAAATCAAATCGACACTCCCCCCACCCCCCGGAAGCAACTGCACATGACCCTTACCAACTACACTCAAATAACAGCCAGAGTGAATAATCCAGTAGCGCGGGTATCGAAAACCACCCCTTCAGATCAAGCAAAACCCTCCCTCCAGCACCTCGCTCTGAAGTCTTGCCACTTCGTATGAGCACACGATCAACCCTCCGATAGCACCAACATCCACGTCCAGACCGTTTTCTCACCGCTACACTCCCGCCCCTATTTGTCCCCAGCCACCAAGCGAATGGGATGCAGTCCGTACGTATATATGCAGCTGCGTTGGAATTTCAGTGTAATGTATCAAAATGCATATTTCCAAGGTATATGCAAGTAGTAGGAGTTGCAGACGGGTAAACAAGATTCATCGATCCTAATTACGAAAAAAAATAAGGACAAGACTATTGCATTTTGCAGGGAAATAGAAGGGATAACTGTGGATTTACGGGAGGCATGGTCAAGTCTGAGTGGAGAAGTTAAAGCAATCTGAGGTATAAATGTCCAACTTCTTTAGCAGAGCTAGTTGGTTAAATTCCGTAGCCCCGGAATTTCTTTCCTACGCCGTAACATGCTGCGAGCGAAAACACGACCCTCTCAAAATGACCTCTCCAACTCATCTTCAAGCGGCAGCATCGTCTTCTGCAACTCTGCCGCAACCCTATCGACGTCAGCCCACACCCTCAGCAAATTCCGTCCTACAATCTTTCCCGCATCGTCATCGCTAACCCCCTGCCTCAACAACTCGGCAACCAGATCGGGAAACTTGGACACGTCTTCCAAGCCCTTGGGCGTGTCCTCGATACCATCGTAATCGGTGCCTAGACCAACATGATCATACCCAATCAAGTCGCCAATATGCTTGATATGGCGTACAACATGGGCCAGGGTATTATTCTCGGGTACGAAGTCTGGGAAAGAATTGGGTGTCTCGGAAGGCTTGCAGGATACGAAATCCGGGTTGAAATTGACCATGACGAGCGAGTTGCGCTGTTTGACTAGCTGCAGGATGTCATCTGGCACATTGCGTGGGTGGGGACAGATGGCATAGGCGGAGCTGTGGCTGAAGATGGGAGGCGCAATACTGCCGTTCCAGCCTGGAGCGCCGTTGCCGACAAGGACGTCGCGCATGGTGTCTTGGCTGACATGGGCAAGATCGACGAGCATGCCGAGACGATTCATTTCTTTGACGAGGTCGCGGCCGGCGGGGCTGAGGCCGTGCCAGTGGGGTTTGGCGATGAGGGGAGTCCAGTCTTTTGCTGTTTCGATAGCAGCGTCGGCGTACTTGTTGTGGCAGTTCCAAGTAAGCGTTGCATAGCGGACGCCGAGTTGGTGGTAGAGGCGGAGGGTGGAGATTGAGTTTCCGATTTGGTGAAGGCCTTCGATGATGACGGGGGCGATGAAGGTGCCGGTGTCGAAGGCGCGGAGGGCTTCTGCGCTGTTGCGGGTTGGGGTGAAGTATTTGGGGTAGGAGGAGCCTAGGCGGTTGAAGAGGTCGAGTTGTTCGAGGGTGGATTTGACGACTGTGAATGTTAGATTTGGGGGGTTGGGAAGGGAGGGCAGGGCTTTTGGACTTACTGTGGGAATATCTCGAGTCTGAGAAGTTTGTACCGTCGCCCAAGGGACAGGGCCAGAAGGCACTCCAGAAGGCACCACCCTGGAGTCCCTTTTCTAGGCGCGGAATGTCAACGTGCTGTTCGAGGCCGCCATTTTCGAACTTCTTGGCAAATTCACTGTCAGAGTTGTTGTAGATGTGGTTGTTATATTTGCCACGGATGAAAATCAACAGATCATTATGGCCATCTTTATAGAGTCAGTCAATGATCAGATGATGGTGGTTCATGGCGCTGACCGATGAGTGGGTTTTGCTTGAGGATCCTCACAGCTCTTTCTTCGACAGTTAGAGTTCCTCCACACGAATGCTTGTGAGGTGTCCAGATTCGAGCGGGTATCTGCGAGGACCACATAACAAATGCGATAAGCAGGAGTCCTGCAGATAAGACGATGCCATTTGAAGGGCGTGTACGCCGTTTCTGAGAGCTATCATCTTGCATAGCTGCATGCTTCTCACCGACTCTAAACTCAAACGGCTTCTCCATTTTGAACAAGAGAAGTGTGTAAACGAGGTGAGGTCAAGTGTGAGACTGAGGGCGTGGTATATGTAGACATGAGTCTTGGCAGTACTACTACGGATGTGGACGGACTTTGGAGAGTTTAATCCGAAACAACACGCGACGCGAATGCTTGCACAAGCATTGTAGCACCGCCATTCCTCATTCCTCACCCCACATCCCATTCCGCCCCAATTACAGCATCACATATTTCAAAATGCCGTTGATATCAGCAAACAACATGATACGCGGCATATCGCTGTTCCACCTCACCCTCGCAGTTACCCTGCTAAGGAATCCCGCCTTGATAGCGAAGCAAGGCATCGTTCTTGTCCTTGAGCAATCAATGCAACTCGTACGTGTCCCAATCGTCAATTGATGTTGCACTCGAATAGCCAAACAAGTTGCTGACAATTTCCAGCCCACACCGCGCGAATTCAGCAAGCCCTCTCCAGCAATCGCCTTTCTGGCCGTCCTCTTTGCCTTTCTCGGCATCAGCGATCTGACGTCTCTCTCACTTCACGAACAAATTTCAGACGAGTACTGGGGTCTTCAGGCGCCCGTGCGTCTATTCTTTCTCTTCGCCGTCACCGGCTACTCGTACGCGTTCAAGGAAGGCGGTCTACTTGGGGCAAAGGGCGCCGACTACAGAGCAAGCGTTGGTGCGGGCTTGAACAACAGTATCCTCTTTACCTGGGGCTTCTTGGAGATTGGGATATGGTTTTGGGTGTACACTGCGTTGAGGGAAGAGAGGGTGGCCAAGGCAAAGATTGTTGCTGAAAAGCAGGCCAGGGAGAACAAGCAGCTTTAGGTGACTGGCCGCGTTATGGAGTCGGAACTTGCATCCGAAATTATTCGGGGGCAGACGCCGTATTCCCATGCGTACAAGGGCTAGGGGAATTCGATTGCAGTGAATGCTAGGTTGGTGGGAGCAACTTGGTCTTGTTTGGACCAAGCGCATGGCTTCCTTATAGATTACGGGACGACGAACACGGCCGATCTTTTTTTTTGATATGATTACAGCGCGTTCACTTACAAAAATTAGACTAGATAGACGGCGCATGGGGTTTGAATCGAGTAATTTGGGACAATGCTTGTTACTTGATGTGCCATGCACGAATACGATGGCGCATTCCGGGCGTTCGGGACCGGCCGTATCTCTGGGGCCCAGGTCACGACTCCGCCGTTCGCCTTCGCGTCTCCCCCACTCTTGCAAACACTACAGTCAGCTACCTTACGTGCTAACCAATGGTTTCTTTTGCAAGACCTGCTGTTTATTCTTCTCCTTCGAGTGACTACGGGTGAACGAGTCTTTCTGCTGCATACTGCCAAATACATCAAGCATCATGGACGAGGCGGGGTGCATCAGTTACAATAATGCGATTGAGGAGCTTCGCGCCAAAGAGTATCCCATGTTGCAGGGTGGGTGCAGGAATATCTACTCTAGGATATACGCTCACACTAGACAGGCACAACCTACCTTGACCATGCAGGGACTACGCTCTACTCCAAGTCTCTGATCGAGCGCTTCTCCGCCGACATGATGACCAACCTCTACGGCAACCCACACTCGGCCTCGGACGCCTCTCAACTGACCACACGCCGGATCGAGGATGTGCGACTACGTCTCTTGCAGTTGTTCAACGCCGATCCACAGGAGTTTGACGTGGTCTTTGTCGCAAACGCCACTGCTGGGATAAAACTGGTCATGGAAGCGTTTCGTGATCAAGATGGGGGATTCTGGTATGGCTACCATCGAGATGCGCATACGAGTTTAATAGGCGTACGCGAGGGTGCGACCAAGCACAAGTGCTTCGCTTCGGATGCGGAAGTCAATGCGTGGGTCGAGGGTGACGAGAATGAGTCTGATTGTACCCAACTATTCGCATACCCAGCCCAGTCCAACATGAATGGGCGTCGTCTACCGTTGGATTGGTCGCGCCGCATTCGCACCAACAAGCGCGACTCGGTGTACACCCTGCTAGACGCTGCAGCCTTAGTCTCTACATCGCCCCTTGACCTTGGAAACCCTGACGCGGCCCCCGACTTTACGGTGCTGAGCTTGTACAAAATGTTTGGCTTTCCCGATCTTGGCGCACTTATCGTCAGGCAAGCATCAGCATCGATATTCGACAAACGACGCTACTTTGGCGGTGGCACTGTCGACATGGTCGTGTGCCTCCAAGAACAATGGCATGCAAAGAAGGCAGAGTCACTCCATGAAAGGCTAGAGGACGGCACGCTGCCTATACATAGTATCATGGCGCTTGATAGCGCAATGACTATTCACCAGGAACTGTACACTTCGTTGGAAAGAATCTCAAGGCACACTGCCTTTCTTGCCCAAAGGCTACACCAAAAGCTCTTGTCGTTGCGGCACGGAAATGGCCAACAAGTCTGCCACGTCTACAAAGACCCGGCGTCGACGTATGGAGATTGTCTTAGTCAAGGTCCAATTGTTGCCTTCAATCTTCAAAATCAATATGGTGGCTGGGTTAGCAACGCAGAGGTGGAGAAACTGGCTGCAATCAAGAACATCCAGCTCCGAACCGGCGGGCTCTGCAATCCTGGTGGTGTTGCATCGTTTCTGGCGTTGGCCCCGTGGGAAATGCGCGAGAACTTCTCGGCCGGGCAGCGGTGCGGCAATGACAACGACATCATCCGCGCGAAGCCCACGGGCATCATACGTGTCAGTTTTGGAGCCATGAGCGCCCTATCAGACGTAGAGTGCTTTGTCTCGTTCTTGCGCGAGTTTTTCGTTGAGAAACGCCCTCAGTTGGACGTGTCTCCAATGGCGATTGTTGGTATCGAGCCACCAACGCAAAGTCGCCTACATGTGGAGAGTCTCTGCGTGTATCCTATCAAAAGCTGTGCGGGGTTCAGCGTGCCGCCGGGTAGACCATGGGATGTGCGTCCAGAGGGCCTTGCGTGGGATCGTGAATGGTGTCTTGTCCATCAGGGAACAGGTGCTGCACTGAGCCAAAAGCGCTACCCAAAGATGGCCCTCATACGACCTAGCATTGACCTTGAAAAAGGCGTGCTGCGAGTGAGTCTGGCGGGCGCATTGCAGGACGCCGCTATCACGCACGAGATAACCATCCCTCTCTCAGCAGACCCACGTCTGTTTACAGAAGAAGCCATGTACAAAGATGCTAGTGCCAAAGTGTGCGGAGACACCATCAAGGCAAAGACGTACAGGTCGAGCGACATATCAGCCTTCTTTACACAGGCTCTTGGAGTACCTTGTCACCTGGCTCGGTTCCCAGCTGTTAGCAATGGCAGTGGCGTATCAAGACATTCAAAGGCGCATCTGCAAAAGCATCAGAAGACGGGCGCTATGCGAGTGCCCGGCGCGTTCCCAGAAACGGTGCCAGTTACACCTGGCGCGTGCGTTTCGAAGCCTATTTTACTGGCGAATGAGAGTCCTATTCTGACTATTTCACGATCGAGCCTCAATCGTTTGAACGAGTTAATCAAAGCGGAGGGCGGCAAGGCGGCGCAAGCAGAGGTGTTCAGAGCCAACATTGTGGTTGCGGAGAACCCAGCGTACCCGCCTGGGCTGGAGGACCCGTACGCTGAAGACGAGTGGCGCTACCTTCGGATTGGTCAACAGTATTTTGAGATGCTGGGGGCGTGCCGGAGGTGTCAAATGGTGTGCATCGACCAGCAAACGGCTGAAAGAAACCAAGAGCCGTTTGTAACGCTTTCGAAGACGCGACGATTTGACGGGCGCGTGTACTTTGGCGAACACACATGTCATCTACCGTGGAGCAATGCGTCATCGCCCATTACGCAGAACCCCACTATTACGGTCGGCGACGCCGTGAGCCCCATTCGCGAGGACGAGGTAGAGCAGAACAGCCAGCTGCAAGCTCTCGTTGGTTAGGCGTGCTGAGAGAACCGAATCCCTGGTTAGGACGGGGCACAGCGGAAGCTGGACCGACTCGGTCGCCACTGTGTGGAGGGACCCGGTCTCTGTGCTTTTTGGCCTTTTTTTGTACCACAGACTCGGAGCATCCGCGCGTGGCTTCATCTTGCATGTGGCAGGAGACGGTCATTGGTTGGGCCTCTGGGAGCTGTGTAACAAAGGATAGATGGGCGGATCGCCGCGTAGCCGTCCATGGGGGTAGACGAGAAGGTGTTTGGGCAACGTGATAGGCATCCAGGAAGAGTAGTGTTGTAAGCGCTGGTCGTCGTGTTTCAACGGCGAACCGGAGTCAGGTGCTTGAGGGGTAGAATAGGGTTGGAAGAGCAGAGCCAAGGTATGGGCTGGAAGCGCGCGCGCGCATTGTCGAGAGCAGCGTAGAGATAGACAGCGGCTGCAAGCAAGACATAAAATCATGTCACGCTCGCACGACGAGGCCATGCACTGCTTTGCACACAGCTTCAGCCCGGTCGCAGCAACGTTCGTTTTGCCGGTACATTACGTTTGAAGGCACTCTACTTCCAGCTGCTGCTGCTGCTACTACCACCATTACTACCACTACTACTACTACTACTACATCCTACTACTACTCTGCCACCGTCTGACGCCAGCGTCTCAGCAGGCCGTGCCAGGATTCGTTACTTCAGGCCAGCGACACTGCTTCTACCAGGTCGCCACGTTCAGCTTCAGGTTACAAGCCTGGCTCCCGCACATCCGCACCCACCATCACACATCCGCCCGGTGTGCAGCGAATCAGGCGGCGCATCGAGCCGGCCAGAGTCTCTCGACCTGCAGGGGCCCAAAGGACGGCACATTTTGTTTCAGCAGTGGGCAGCGAATCGAGGGGCGGTGGAGGAGTTCACCAGTGCACGGGGCCTGTCCATCCTTGCCCTCGGCGCTTAGCAGACGCTGCAACTCTTCGCGCCCAAAAATAACCCCACCCGGCCCATACAGCGGCCAACGACAACAGCGCATCCGCGCCAAGCTGCCTTCGAGTACGCACAATAAACACCTGCCATCCCCAGGCGCCAGCAGCTGCCCGTCTGCCTGCCTCGCCCTCCAACCCTCTCCACTTTGCTGTGGACAAAGGCATAGCACCGCCCGCCCTCTGAGCCCCCACGCCCTCGGCCATCCATTCCCAGTCACTCGTTCATCAAGACTTCACCAACAATGGCTGCCACCGACTCCAAGCCCGCGCTGTCTACCCTCAAGACGCCCATGTCGGCCACATACCCCTCAGAGCTCCGCTCGCCCATGGTCACTTCTGCTACCACGCCCATCTTTGCCACTATCAAACGGGAAGACTCGGACATCAAGACGCCAATCACTCCCCCAACAGCCTACCTCGAGTTCCTCAAGAACCTGTCGCCTGTTCTCTCGAGCCCCATGTCCACTGGCACTAGCTGCAGGTTCGTCTTTGGAGAGAGCCGCCCCACTTCAGTCACCTCGTCGGCCTCGAGTGCCTCCTTTACATCAACATCGGCCCCATCAGACAAGGACTCGCCAGCAACGTCAAGATCAAACAGCTGCGGTAGCTGCGACACCTCAAAGGACGAAGCAAAAGAGCCAATGTCTGCCCCGCCAACAAAGGTCCAAACCGTCACCATCCCACCCCCATCACCCTTTCGGCGGCATTCAGCGCGGACACCCCGCCTCTACATTCCCCAGTCACCCTACTCGCCTGCAGCGGTAAGGTCCCCTGCCAGCGCAAAGTCAATCCAGTCACCCTACTCTGCCGTCTCATCACCCAAGACATGGGAGGCAGATAAGAAGACTGGCCGGTCAAGGCGGGTCAGTGTGCGCGAAGTGGTGACGAGGACAGTGACTTACAGTCGCACCCCCGTCGACGCAAAAGCGCCACACTTTCCGCAAATCGACCCCGCACCCCGCGGCAAGAGGAGAAAAGTCGAGTAGAGAGAGAGTGTGTGTGTGTGAAAAGACTGTTAGGCAGAACACACTTGTCTCTACAATGCCAAGTCGAGCATGCATGTGCGCGCAACCTGCTCGGACTCCGTCCAACCATGCTTCCTCTCACGCCCTGCATTGGCGCCCACTCGACGGCGCCTAATTTCTCATTCGTCCACCAAACACCCGCCTGCCTTGTACACACACTCACACACACACGCACTCGGTTTACCAAACCAACCCACCCGTCCGCCAATTTCAAACTAATACCTTGTCGGGTCCAGGCGATCCGATCGCAAGCAATTACTCTTCAGTCATCACACCACATCACCAATCGACAAATCTACCAACAAATCTACTCTCACTTTCCAAACGCACTCTGTCTATTACTTACCCCCACTACTACCCCCTACCAATAGAGAAACGACGTTACGGCCCACGTCCTTTTTCTCAACTCATGACTTCACTTTTTCTTTATTAACGGCGGAAAACATTATCACATTGGCGTTTTTACTTTTCTTGGGAAATCCCCCTTGATCAACTTACTACATTTGTTCCTATATTATTGTAGGCCAGGATACCAACATTAAAGGACCCGCCGCTTGCGGCAGGTAAGGGGGGAGAGGGAGGGGTGTGCGGTGCGGCCAGCGCATTGCGCGAGAAAGAGAGAGAGAGAGCAGGGGTGTGGAGTATACGACATCTATTGGTTCATCGCGCCCTCCCTCTCTCTTTCTCTTGCTTCCTTAGGCAACCGGGGCTTTTTTATCAGCAAGGATTTTTTGCTGTGAGGGCGAGAGGGTTTAGCGAATTTCCTGCACGTGCAGCAGCAGCGCTTCATTTGAGGAGGGGACCTGCTGGGCGGCTAGAAAAAAACCTGCTGTCCCAGGTCTCTCTCTCATTTCTGCCGCGTGCGGATTGGCTGTGCTGGCTTTCGCCCACCCTATTGGAGCCAGGGAGGGGGGGCGTCGCGCGCGTTGGAGCGGGGAAGCAAAGCGGTAAAAGAGGGCTTGCTGGCTGGGGGTGTCAGATGAGATAGCCGTATGTCGACGTAGCAGTACGTAAGTTAAGTAGCATCAGTCCTTTTCCTGGCACGATGCATACCTCTTGCATCACCCATACTATCAATTGAAAAAAAAATTATTCAAAATCCACGTTTTCCTCGCCCTGTTTACTTTTCTTAACCTAACAAGCGTGTCTTTGTACAGTAAGTCAAGTTCAATGTGCCTTACTCCAAATCAACCATAAAACAATACTACAACCCCGGTCCCTATACCACGCATCCCAGACCCTTACTACACAACACAGCACACACACACCCACTTCTTTCCATCGGGTCGCAAGTTGCACAGTGCGCAAATGTAATCCCGTATGCAGGTCGCATCGCGATAACGCAATCCGGTGAGTTTGTGGGCCCCTCTCCCTTCCCCCAACTGCCGCCCGTTTTATTCTTCCAACGAGTTGCGAGTTTGAACAAAAAAGATGAAGAAGGTGTAGGTAGTGTGCAAATACCGCAACCTCCTCCTTCTATGGGTACACGTAGCGATTTCCATTCGCCCAATCACACCGCTGGATCGTATATCATCTTGACCCCAGCAAAAAAAAAAGATCCAACAGAGTTAAAGCTTTCTTTCACGAATTTGGGAGTTTTTGTGCTGTTTTGCGACAATTCATCATCTTGTGTCTTTCTACATGTACAGAACCGCATACGGGGCCGGGTAGTCCATTGGTTTAGCGTTGTCGCTCACACACACCCACCCTTTGTCTCGTAAATCACATGAAAAACAATCCACCTGTCCCAACCTCCCCTTACTCCACTCATATCTACATATATATATCATCATATACTCGTATTTAATATGTAAAACATCAAGACCCTGCCCAGCTGAATTGAACGACAAAAAAAAGAGAGAGAAAAAGCAAAATACTCTACAATCCCTCTACCGTCTCCCCAGCACCCAGCGCTTCCAAAACGCACAGACCCCCTCCGCCCACCCAATCACAGCAACAGAGCAGACAGGGATACGCGGGGTAAGCCGTGGTGGGCGCTTAAAACCTTGCATACCCGTACATACGGTGAAGAAGGACGAGCAGCGATTCAGCGGGTGCCTTTGAAAGAGAGAAAACGGTATCTCAGCGTTGGAGGTTGTTGGAGGTCGTTAGTTGTGCCCCCTCCAACCCCATCTTCTCCTACCGAGCTATGCAACAAACTTTCCTCCACACGGCACCAAGCGTACCTTGCAGCGCTTTGGGGAAAAAAACACGCGCAAAAGACTAAAGGTGGATGGCACGAGGTAGAAGATGAGGGGGTGCGAGATGCGCTTTTGATGCGTTACGTTACTATGTACGATACGATATGTCTGGTTAAAGTAAGCAGAAAAGCTCAAACGCAGACACACACACACCCCGTCCGCGACCCCGACGTACAGACACGCCCTCTTTTCTTTAACCGAGAGAAGCGCCGTATAGTCTTTTTTTTTACGGCACGGTAAAGAGAGGGCGTATGTGTGTGTGTGTGTGTGTGTGTGTGTGCGGCGCGGTTGCCTCGCTTTCTAACCGCGTTTGTGGCACGGTTTGGTCTCGGTGGGAGGCTGCTTGCCAGGCTGCTCGTACAAGCCTCGGCCGGTGCTTCGGCACAACCTCGGGGGGGTTACTTGCTTACCTGCACATCGGGTTTGTATAGTAAAAAACCACGGTGGCGGTGGCGGTGGTTCTGTGGCTGTGTGGTGGTCTGATAGCCTACATTACAACTTTACGATTACTGTACGCGGGGTAGGGTAGAGTGGTAGTCGGGGTGGCCGAAGGTAGACGCTTTCCTTTTCTGCGGAATTTTCCTGCCCCCCCCCTTTTTTTAACACTTAGTCGCTGGGAAGTATTGGTAAGAGCTAGTTTTTTTGGTGTCTTTCATGTGGTGAAAAGGGGATACAAGTGGGATGACCTTTTTTTCACGAGCGCTGCGGCACGGCAGTGAGAGCAGCTAGCGGCGTTCGCTGTTGCCGTGCCGCGGCTCCCCCCTTTTTTTGTCTGTGAGAGAAGCGAGGTGCATGTGACACGCATGTGCAGAGAGACAAAAGGAGGGACGAGTGGTGGTGTAGACGCGCGTGTGATGTGGGTAGTCTGGGATGTGTTGCGGTTTGACTGAGATAGTTTGCACAGAGGAGAGTTTGTTTGGAGGATACTACTGAGATAAGATAAATAAGTTTAAATACCATGGTGCACAAGGCGATCTTTTAAGCTTAAATGTGAAGATGTGGGGATGATCCTTGTGCTTAATACATGATAGAATGGATAATGTGGGGTGAGGATAAGCATCTTAAGTTATACTTCTGCTTCTCATGGAGACATGATTGAATTATGTTGTTTGGTATGGAATCAGAAATGGTGTATGCTATGTACTTTCTGGCCTTTTCAGACTATCGTCGTAACCAATCGGTTGAATGGGCAGAGGGAAGTGAATGTGTGGAATAGTGCAGTCTGGAAAGGAGAACAAAGGCGAACGAAGCCGATGCATATGGCTGCGTTTACCCAAAATATATGTATGTATATAGTTATAGGGTTGTAATCTTCTACTGTTTGATGTTGGTTGATACCCATGTGGTGGTGATTTTCAGTCGTTTTCCAATTCTTGAAAAAAAAAGAACCAAAAAAGCACAGCCGTCATCGAAGAATACCATAGACATTAATCAACTATGGTAAAGATACTACTACCCACATTATTCCCCAATTAATCTATATCTCAAGTCCCTTCTAACTAACAGAGGCATATCTAGCAATATACGCCTCATAGGTATCATAACTTTTCATGCTCCAAAACCATGGTGTTCTAGAACAAAGAAAAAGAAAAAAAGTTGCCTCGTCGCCAAAATCAAGCTCTTGACGATGTCGCAGTCACACCCGTCTGCTCCAGGCTAATCTCATCCGACGACCTGTCGTCAATGGCATATGGATCTCTAGGGTTGCTCGACAGATTCCGCAACTCGGTCGTGCTGTGGAATTTGACTTCCTTCTGAATGTAAATCGAGCTGCCAAGTCCACTCTTTGGATTCTGCTCGTCGTCGAGCCGTGTGCGTTGACCGTACGCATTGCCGTAGGCGGACGAATCCTTGTTGGAAGATCCGACCAGGACCGGTGCAATGCGCTTGACCAATGGCCGCAGGGTGGGCACGCAAGCGCACATTATGCCGAGATTTGTCTCGACAATAGATAGCATGGCGGTAGTTGCCATTATCCATGTACCGTCTGTAGTGTTCTTGTCCACGTGTACTTGTTGCGCCAGCCGGACGGCTGAGATGACACAGACCCTGATCTGCTTGTCAGCATCATGTCCAAACATCAGGCAAAAACCTAGTAGATGGGAGCGCTTACACGAGACCCAAGCACAAAACAATCAAGAGGTATGCTTTGCGCAACGTGTTGATCTGCAACTGGAGCACGGGCTTGATCGGAACCATCAAAATGGCAAAGTCGGTAACCATGTTCATGGCGCCGTTGAGAAGAAATGGACTGTGCCTCGTGTCAGAAAATCGCGTATCACATATATCCCAGGCGGGACACATGGTGCTTACATGTCGGGCCGGATACAAGTCACCGTCTTTGGATAGATAAGCTGTGCAATGCCGCACGCAAACGAAGTGTATATCCTTTACCCGTTAGATTAGAACTCAGCATGTTTTGCGAGTCCAAACTCACTGTTGCGCAATTCCCCACATGATCAAAAACCCAACACTACAGTCGCATATTACCCGCATTGTCCTGCTGGGAAATATGTGTCTGTATTGCAGCATGAGGGATATCTTTGTTGCAATCTGTGTCGCGTTGTAGACGGCCATGGCAGAGTAAACCAACTTCTTCTGTCAGCATGTTTCTCAGTGGTTCTTCGCTGCCTCGGCCTTACCTTCAGGAACATGGGCAGTTTGTCCATTACGAACTGAATGTGTCGTCCTATACCCCCAACAGTGAAGCACACGATATTGATGGCTGTGAGGCCCAAGCCGAAGATTTGGGCTAAGAGAATGGCATAGTCGTCACTGGTGACATGTCTCAGGAGGATCTTTCTGATTTGTTGTCAGGCCCTGATATACCGAGTTTCCGGGTAGTCCTTACCGTGTGTACAGTCGAAGGGCAACTGTGCTACACGAAGCTACTGTGAAGATAATAGTGACGGCGAGGCCGGCAGGGGCCTGAAAAGTGTCAACGGGTTTGTTCTAAACAGCAGGCAGTTGATCACATACGAGAGACTCTCTTTCCAGCTTCGGGTCGAGGTTCGGCGGCGGCGGCGGAAAACCACTCATGATGATTTCGATTAGTGTGCAACGGCACGAGTGATCTTCATACTTGTTCAAATGGGGTAATGAGGGCCCATGTGTAAGAACTCTCCAGAGTGATAAGTAAAACTTCAAAAGAAAGACCAGGGAGCAACTCAAGCACTTTTTCTTCTAGAACGACACGGTGTGCTGTTGTTATGCAGGGCGGGGATAATCCGGTTCATTGGGCGTCTTACAAATTTTGGCATGTTGCTACTAATTAAGTCAGACGCCACGGGAAAGTTAATTGATGAGTCGTGGCGGACAACGATATCCCCTACACTGGTCCGGGGAAGCGTATCATCCATGTCAAAGCGCTGCAGGGTGCACATGGAATCGTACATGTAAGTCGCCATCACACTCGCTTCTGGTTTGAAGCAGTCATCTATCTGAGCCGGGCTCAGCTGCATGCTTTACAGTAGATGACACTAGTTGCCTTAGTTGGGGACTGGACATGCCGACGCGCAAGCTCTAAGCGGGTCGCAGTATTGGGCACCGATGCAAAGGCAAAAGCGCTCGGTGGCCAGACGACAGATGCGGACTTGGAATGGCAAAATATCAGCCCATGGTGGCAGATGCATCCATAGCAAGAAGCACCAGGGCTCGAAGAGTCAGTTGACAAGACTTGGTAACACATGGCTAACATCTAATCAGGCCATTCTGATGGTTCAGATGAATCGTCTTGACGAACTAAAAGATGACTTACCTGAAGAGGCATTTCGGAGAGTTCCGTCCGAACATGTACGTACGTACTACAGCGTTTCTGCACTAGATGAAGACTTGGCAGCAACCAATGGTAGCGGCAGGAAGCGTCACCCGTACCTTTTTCAGGTCCAGGTCGACCGACCAATTGTACGGTATGAAATGGTTAAGGGTGCTCGACTGTCGTGGCGGTGGTGGCTCGTGCACATGGCCGTCCTGTCCTCCCGTCCCGTTCGCTGACCGTTCATTTCACCACCTTGCTGGCAAGGGTCGCGTGGTGGCACCGGGAATATTTCGGTGTGACCAATGCGCATAGGGAGCACGTGTCGCCTCCACACACTCGACGAGGAAATAATTACACGGATCAAGACGATGGCTTCTGATGGTTCCGTCGTATCTTTCAATCAACGAGGCTGTCATTAGTTATCACCCTCCCCATTCCGCAGTACACACCGCCCCTATACACGAAACCACCAAAACGTAAACCGGGGGCCAAAACACAGTGAACAAGACAGGTTGAAACACGCGCGATGCGCACCTTTAATGCACATCACGTAACCGATCGGCCGCAAAGTATCCTTGTACTGTGCATCAAGGGTGTCGGTGTTTCCCACGTGCTCACCATCTCGGGTACAATGGAAGAGCGGGGCCCCTTGCAGATCCGCAAGTCGCGCGGTCTTGTTGGATCGATTCTTAATTCTCACTTGTCTATGATCGATTTCGCATAAGGCCACATGCATATTTGCGACATGAGACGCAAGAACTTTGAAGGAAGCATGGACTTACTAGTCACGTTTCATGTGTGTCTATCAGATTTGGTGTGTTCGGAAAAGGAGGGTGAATGTAGTCGCCAGGCGATTCCCCTTTCTTGTGTTCGACATCTCTTCCACCACTGCTGTGTATCCTGTTACACCACTTTAGTATTACACAGCTACAATATCTTCGAGTATCATCTACACCGACCATAGCATCCTCTCATGGAACAACCGCACCTTTCATGCAGATGGATAATCCGTCTCACCTCCTTATTCCACTGCCAGCTTAGTCTTAACCACTAGACCAAAGATGTGTCCATGTTGGAACGAAGCATACACTGCAGCTCTCCTAGAGTCCATGTCGACATGTACAGTCCTCGTTCCCTTGACCGGATCGCGTTCCGAAAGGAGGGTAACCCTGCGACTATTGACATCCATGTTAGTACCTAGCTGAGTTGAGCTGGCATGTTGGCAAACTAACATATTCGATCGGTACTTGGCAAGGAAAACCAAGATGGATTCCTCATCAACGCCCGCAGCTAGATTGGAGAGAATGAGACGGCGGGCAAGTTGGCGTTTCTTGTCCCCCTCGCCTACAACGTAACCACCGGTACCAATGAGCTGTTCATTCTCGTTCCGAATCATGCTCTCCACTTCCCATTTTCCATGGAATTCATCTGTGTTGCTACCAAACAAGTAGGTGCTCCAACTTTTGACGTGTTCCCACTTGCAATTAGACACCTCGAGCATGAGCGCCACAGCATACGGAACGATCTCCGGACTAAGCGAACCAGCTGAACGGGTAGTATAGAGGCGGCTCATCGGATCCATACTGAAAGGAACCGCGGGTCCCGCACAACTAGTATGCGCTGTGGGATTGCAAGCTAGTGAATAGAAAGGCGGGTATGGGGTGTCCGGTCCCCCGCAGGCGAGCTCAAAGTCGCCATCAATATCCCTGGATAGTTCCTGCCTTGGCTCGGACATGCTCCCCTTGATTTTTGAAAGCGTAACTTCCAGTTCAACAAGATCACAAGTCTCATTATGAACGGTGCCCACGCGAGTCATAGTCGAATACTCTTGGTCGGTGTCTCCGCGGACGGTCGTCGTGTCCTGGTCAATGGCATAGAGGCTGTGCTCATTACTCAGATCAGTATTGCCACTCTCCTCCCTTTTAATTCTTCCTCACCCTTTATTCTCGCCTGTGGTCACCCGTGCCATCATTCGTGGCTCTCGGTTCCGCATCTCTACCTCCCGCCGGCCACTCGCTTTGACAAGCGTATTTGTGATATCTTCTAATTGACGGCGAAGCAGGTCAGCCGTCATCGTGGTGGGTCGGGCGAGATGAAAAGAGATAAATGAGTTAGTTTAGAATAGAAAATGTGTATGTTTTTGGTTGGTGAGAAGTGATAGAGTGTGGAGGATGTGAGAGGGGTTTGTTTGTCCAGTGACGATATGCACAAACAACCCGGGGCAACCATGAGGAAGGCACGAACGACCATCCCTAGCTTTGGACTCGGGGAAACCCTTGCGGCGAGACCTATGCTTCCGACGGGAATAAACCGTTGTGACGATTGTGTGATAGTAAATTTTCCTGTAGTGAGTTTGACAAACGAAGGCATTGAACTGGAATCATGAACGAGCGATGAAACGGTGGAAAGTGGAATGTGAAGATTCAACACTACATATATAGCTCGAGATGAGATGCATACATATTTGCTCTTTTCCATCCCTCCTGCACCCAGGCAGCATGCAGTTTCTCAGGTGAAGGAATACCAAACACACAACCCTGCATGAACCCTCCAAAGGTTTCGTTCAGGGCGCAACGGACATGAGTTTGTTAGACGAGAGTCTATCCAGAAATCCTAACTAAGCTTGCAAAGCTTTCTTTTGAACCCGAAGAGAAATAAAGCAAACAATCACTGCTTCTTCTTCCCCGCTACCTTCTTCTCTTCAGCCAGACGCTCCATTTCTCGAATCTCCTGCTCCTCGGCCCTCTTGGCATACCACTGACCCGCTTGTAACACCAAGACGCCCACAAGGACAAGCGCAAGAATGGTATTACTGGCTGCAAAGACCCTGAGTGTGTCTTCTCTCGAGATGTAGTCGCCCATGTCCTCTTCGGTAATCTCGCCCGGGTTAGCCTTGTCCATCTCACCGTAGATACCAGCCGTGACGACGCGGAAGCCCTTGACAATGTTGGTCAGGTAGACGGTGATGCCGGCCATGTACAGGACGAGAGATGCGCCGTCAAAAAGCATATTGGCTTGGTTGGGCTTGAAGAGCTTGATTAGGAAGCCGAGGAGGCCGGTGCCGATGACGAGATTGAGGATGCGCGAGACTATCGGGGGCGAGGCATAGAGGAACTTGATGTGCGACTCGAGAATGTCAAAATAGGATGCGCGGTCTTCGGGCGTCGTCCACAAGACATTATAGTCGTAGGGCAGTTGCGCGAAGAGGATGCCGAGGAAAAAACACGTCGCTGTGCGCTCGTTAGAATGTGCTGTGTGCTGGAAGCCCGAGGCTTAGGCTGAAGCGGAATTGAGGCAACCTACGTCCAACTACCATGAATTGCGCAAAGTTGTTTTCTGCGCCGACTGCCATGCTTGTGATGTGGAATGGGATGCGGAATCTAGGGCATGTGCAGTCAAGAGTCTTGGAGGGTAGATAGAGGCCAAGTGGAAGCTGGCGCAGGCTTATCGTGCTCGTTTGCTAGCCGCGAGGCGCAAGAATCGTCGTTGGAGGTAAGCCTATTTTAGAAGGTAATGCAGGGAACACGGCTTGGAAAAAAGTCCTCCACTTGGCTAGCATCAACAGGGAGGCCCGAATCGGTGTTGAAGCGGTGATTATCTCGTCGGTGTACGAAGTTCGTTCTCGCAGTTCGCTAAAGACCCCGCGATGGTTCATGCCGCTATGATGCTCGTCTGCAGATACGTGCCTTGGCATGTGACCGCATAACTATGTCACGCGATATTTATCCCGAGGCGTCCAGCGTAGACATTGTGATGGAATTGCTTCGTTGTAAGCTACACGCAGCCATCTATGCGGCTGCAAATACAATAGAACTGTCCTAAGCGTCGCTTGGATATCCAACGCCTGCATACGCCATGTCCCAGTTGCACCACTATTCTTGTTCCTTCTCATGCGTAATCTAGAAGTCATTGTCGGCGTCCATATCCTCGTCTTCCATACCAGCCTCAATGAAAACAAGTCGTGTTCCTTCTCCAGTCGTTTGCCAGACCTATTGGCTAGAGTTAGCAAGCAATAGACTGCGTTTTTCTGTCGACTACTTACATCAAGCATAGCGTATTCGTCAATAGCTGACTCGAATTGATCGGCCGTGAAGCCCTTGGCCAGGACTCGTTCCCTAACTCTGCGGAGATCAAGTTCACCCCTGGTGCCATCACCAACGGCCGCAGCACCGCTCGCCTCCATGGACTTGATAAGGTGATAGATCTTGCTGCTAGGCGTATGATCATCCCTGCGGTTCTCGTCGGCATAGAGACTGGCCTTGCTGACCTCTGTAAGGCGGAGAGCTTCGTCAACATCTTCAGAGATGACCTCATCAGCAAATCGTAGACGCGCCAGAGCTTGAGCCAGACGAAGCACACCCAAGAGTGTACGCGGCGAGGTGTGCGTAAAGGCCTTTTTGCTGCCATCATCGCGCTTTTGTTGTTGACGCATGCGCACATAGGCGCCAACCATGTAGTCGGCAACCTCCTTGGGCACAGTCGGTCGATAGGACCTGGCACGGGCAACCCACTGTCGAACTTCCGCAGGGCTGAAGACGATGCCTCCGGGGGCTTCGGGATGGGCGTTGTGCATGTGGACATGCGTAACGTGGCGGGCAAGCTCTTCGTCCGAGTCACGCGTAGGGGTATCAAGGATGAGGAACAGGACATCGAAACGGGACAGAAGAGCGGCGGGGAGGTTGATATTCTCAATGGGTGACAAGCGGGGATTGTAGCGGCCGTACAGTGGGTTGGCGGCTGCCAGAATCGATGTGCGGGCGTTGAGTGTGGTGGTGATACCGGCTTTACTGATGGAGATTGTCTGCTGCTCCATGACTTCGTGGATGGCTGTTCGGTCGCTGTCGTCCATCTTGTCGAATTCATCAATACAGCACATTCCGTTGTCAGCAAGAACAAGAGCACCTCCCTCGAGAACCATTTCGTCCGTCACTGGATCGCGCATAACGGCTGCAGTCAGACCAACGCCACTGCTACCGCGACCAGTCGTGTAGACACCACGAGGTGCAACCTTGGTGATGTACTTGAGCAATTGGGACTTGGCCACACCAGGATCACCCATCAGGCAGACATTGATGTCACCACGGATGCGCATACCATCTCCCACCTCCTTTGTGACACCGCCAATGAGCTGGAGCAGAAGTGCCTTCTTGACATCAACATGGCCAAAGATTTCGGGCGCAATGGATCGCGACAGGTACTCGTACAGCTGGCCGGTCCTCTCGAGTTCATTCATTCTCCGCAGGGTTGGCTGGGCAAGCACAATGTCATCGTAGGCCTTCTTGTGCTGCAAGACGTATTGAGCCTCGAGATAGGTGTCGGTAAGAAGACCAGCGCGAATCGCCTTGAAGCCAGTGTAAGGCGTGGGGAGGAAAATGCCGGTGCAGTCAATTACGTCTCCAGGGTTAATCTGACGGACCAGAGCGCCATGGCAATGGATAGTGAGCTGTCTGGGGATGTGGCCAACTGGCACTTGATCGGCCATTTCCTGAATCTTGACTTCCTGGAAGGGGAGGAATTTTGAAGCGCGGGTAGACAGAAACAACTGGCCCTTGGTCTTGTTGCTCTTGCACTCTTCTGAAGGGCATTCTACAAGTGGAGTGAACTGCTTGGTCGTCACAGGTTGGAAAACTTCGCTTCCACAGCGGTCGCAAGAGTAGGCGTTGACAAGCACGGCAGGCTTGACGTCGGAGACCCTTGTTGCAATACCGCGGACTGTGATGAGGTGGCCGAGGTGCTCTCCACGGACATTTCGGACGGCGAGTGCTTTGAGACTACGCTGGCTGCTGGAACCTGAGGGCACTCTGGGCTTGAAGTTGAGCGTGTAGCGTCGCGTCAGGGCTGGAGGAAATATTGACTCTGGAGCAGCCTGTTCGGCATCGTCGACGCCCTGTAGCTCTTGCATCCTTTCATTGCGCTTGGAGCGCTGTGTCATGATCACGTCCAGCACATCGTCCTTGAAGCTGTGTACAGTAAGTGCTGGTACTGGCAGATTTCACGTAGTGCCATACCTCAGCTCTCTTGTGGGCTCTGGAAGGCACTTGTCCACGGCGCGCGAAAAGATCTCAATGTAGTGGTAGGCATTCCGCTCAATGGACTCGACCAGCCTAAGGTTTTGCTCGTCGTCGGAAGCTTTCTCGTACTGGCGACTATGAATCAGTTGCGGGGTGCCGGCAGCTGGTCATGGCCACTCACCGCCTCGACGTCGTTGAGGTCTATTTGGATCTCGTCGCGCATGCGATTGGCAACTTCCTGGAGCTGGTCCATGTACTTTAACTTGGACTTGTTGCGCGCCTGGGCTGCGGGGCCGCTGTCCTCGGCGTCGACCATGTCGTCGTCATCCTCGGTGCCATTGCCGTTGAGGTTGAGGCTCTCGAGCTGGTCTGCTGCCTCGGTCGAGGTAGACTTGTAGTTTTTGAGGAAATCAACAAAGGCAGCTATGCGGTGTTAGCAAAGGGCGACCAGGGTGTTGTGAACGCGTGTATAGATACACACCCTCCTGCTCGTTGTAGTTGACGGGCGCACTCGTGGTGAGCAGCGCCATGGGGGGCGAGATTGAAAGGTGGCGGCCGGAATATAAAAAAGACGGCCGAAGGTCTGGTGTTATTGGTGATATCTCGGAGACAATTGCAGCGGGGAGGGAATGGCAAAATCGGGGCTGGGCTGGGCGCGTTGCTGGCTTGGGGCGCGTCCACCCGCGTCGACAAGGGCCCGCATCTCTTTGGTTCTGCCGGCTGCCACCGCCCTGGGCCCATGGCCGCCGACGACCTCGGCTCGCTGGGAGAGAGAGTGATGCGCTTGGGCTTGCGAGTATGTAGCAGCCGTCATTCTGCTCTCTCCATTCTCCATTCACACTCTCTCCCCCAGCTATGCCGCCGAAAAAGCCCGCCGGCAACGTCGTCCAGGCAGAGGTCGTCTTGCACCAGTCGCTCAAGAACTGCCTTGTCAACTTACCGTCGTCGCTGGTGTCGGTGCTTGTTAATGCAAACACGGTACGCGCCATTAGCTGCACTCAACACCCGGTTGCTTACTCTCTGTCCAGGTCGCCCAGAATGTTGTCGTCGAGCTCTCATACCGCCAGCCTCCCCCTCCCGGCGCTACCGACAACAAGAATGCCGCTCCAAAGTCCGTCTTCCTGGGATGGACGGGCATGCAGAGCAAGCGCAAGATTGCGCCCGTCGTCGGCAAGGACGGCCTGAGGGGCAGCCCAGCAGTCAGCCAGCAGGATATTCCAGCAGTCGAAGTGGATGCTACGTTTGCGCGACTGACCGGTCTTCAGCAGGGTCAGAAAGTCGGCATCATACTGCACCTCGACCCTCCCCAAGCCCACACCATCAACATCGAGCCATTGACCCCTGTCGACTGGGAAATGATCGAGCTACACGCCCAATTTCTTGAACTCAACTTCCTTTCGCAGATACGCGCACTGCCTAACCCACAAGCTCAGTCGCCGCACCCCCTGACCCTCCATCTATCCCCTACTACCACCGCAAACATCACTGTCACCTCTATTGCACCCGCGCCGCAGAACGCATCGCTCTTTGTCAAAATCTCGCCCGACGCAGAAGTCATCGTTGCGCCCAAGACACGACAAAAGGAGAGGAGCTCGACTCGGGAGAGCCGGAGCGTGGGCGCTGCTTCGAGAAAGAGCGGAAAGAGCACTGCAAGCACAGTCCGGCGTCGCAGCGGTCGTGAGGATGCTGCGACAAAGGGCGTTGTCTTCCTGCGCGGTGTTGACCGAAGCGTTGCCCAGGAGTGGTTCGACGACGAAGATGATGCTGACGCAGAGGGACTGAAGGTCTGGGTTGATCCCGAGGTACTCCTCACGAAAGCACTCAGGGGGGCCACTTGGGTCTCTGTATCAGTTATCAAGCCTGCAGGCCTACAAGAGCCCGTCGACATGTCCAAGGAGCAAGAACAGGAGAAAGCTGCGACTCGCGTGGTAGCCAAAATCGTCCCATGGGAAGATGCGCCTGACAGCCGTCATGTGGCGCTTTCGGTCGGCCTGTGCAAGGTTTTGGGCTGTGAGAAGTTTGTGGGTGGATTGGTTCGCATCGAAGGCGCACCTGCCCAAACTCCCAAGCCACCTGCCATCAAGCCACAGGGTACCAAAGAGTCCAGGGAGCCAACCGTGAAATCAATCAAGATTGCACCTTTCGCTACAGTAGCATCACTAAGCAATGCATCACTGAAATTTGGTGGCGAGTCAAAACAGGACCAGGAGAATGCTATACAAAAGATCAGAGCGTCGTATGGAAAAAAGAACGGAATTCTGGACGGGCCGGTTACGGACGGAATGATATTACCACCAACAAAGGATTCCGAACTTGGCTGGCAAGGAGGTATTGTAAAATTCGAGCCTCCCTCGACAACCAGTGGTGTATCATGGGTCCTCTTTCCTGAGAGGAAACCACCACTTGAACTGGGTCCAGAGGTGTCGGTACCGTCAAGTTGGGCCAAGGGGTGGCAGCAGGGTGATCCATTACCCGAAACTCCTGCTCACCTCGTTGGAATTGACCCACTTATTGCACAGTTAAGATCACACCTGACGCATAATTCATCAGTGCTCCTTACTGGAGGTCTCGGCGCAGGAAAATCGGAATGTGCTCAGCTCCTTGCCCACCAGCTCCGGACCGAGTACCTGTTCAACACCACATACTTTCCCTGTCGTAAGCTGGTAACGGATGAGACGCGTGTTGCAACCATCAAAGAAACACTCAATCGGCTGTTTGCCACGGCATCGTGGGGTGCACGTGGCGGCGGAAATGCCGTAGTCATTCTGGACGACCTTGATAAGCTATGTCCTGTGGAAACCGAGCTTCAGGTTGGTAATGAGAATGGCCGAAGCCGGCAGGTCAGCGAGTGCCTGATCAACATCGTCCGACAGTATTGTTCCATGGACTCTGGCGTAGTGCTGCTGGCAACAGCACAGGGCAAAGAAGCTCTCAATAATGTCATCGTTGGAGGTCACATCGTTCGCGAAATCGTCAGTCTAAAGGCACCCAACAAGGATGGCAGGAGAAAGGTCATTGAGATGCTAGCTTTCAAGGATGCCAAAACAGAGTCAACCGAGCAAGCTAATGGCCATGCCTTCCCGCCCTCTCCATCAAATAGTAGACCAAGCACTTCTCACTGCAGCAATGCCAGTGTCGACAGCATACAAAAACCGCCTTCTGAGGAATACGGCTTCACCGTCGACTCTTCCATTGACTTTCTCGATCTTGCGGGACAGACGGACGGTTACATGCCTGGTGATCTTGTTCTGCTGACTTCACGTGCGCGAAACGAAGCACTCATCCGCTCTGTCACATCAACATCTCCTACCGTGACTCTTACCCGAGAAGATTATACCAAAGCCCTTGCAGGCTTCACGCCTGCCTCGTTGAGGAACGTCACATTGCAGTCCAGCACCACCAAATGGGATTCGATAGGTGGTCTACACAACACACGCCAAGTTCTCTTGGAGACACTACAATACCCCACCACCTACGCCCCTATCTTCGCAAAATGCCCACTACGTCTTCGCTCAGGTCTGCTTCTTTATGGATACCCCGGATGCGGCAAAACACTGCTCGCCTCTGCTGTAGCAGGTGAATGTGGCCTCAACTTCATTTCAGTCAAAGGTCCCGAAATCCTCAACAAGTACATTGGAGCGTCTGAAAAGTCAGTGCGTGATCTTTTTGAGCGAGCAGAAGCAGCGCGGCCTTGCGTCTTGTTCTTTGACGAGTTCGACTCCATCGCGCCTAAACGTGGCCATGATTCCACAGGCGTAACAGATCGCGTCGTCAACCAGCTCCTCACCCAGATGGACGGTGCGGAAGGTCTTTCAGGCGTCTACGTCTTGGCCGCTACCTCGCGCCCTGATCTCATCGACCCTGCGCTCCTCCGTCCTGGTCGTCTAGACAAATCCCTCCTCTGCGACATGCCCGACGAAGAAGAGCGCATCGACATCTTGCGTGCCGTAACTGCAAAGCTGCACCTGGCACCCAGCATCCTCTCAGCCGATACATCTGGTCAGAATCTCCGCGAAATCGCCTCCAGAACAGAAGGCTACTCCGGCGCCGATCTCCAAGCCGTAGTCTATAATGCCCAGCTAGAAGCCATTCACGACGCCCTCGGTGACATCGACCCTTCCAAACTCGACGCCGCTGGTAACAAAAATACCGGCACAAAAGATACAAAGGGTATCCCCGACTTTTCTTACTTCCGCTACGGCGACGACGATAGCAATACACCCGCCGACTCCGCACTGCGTACCTCGCACCACATCTCCGAGCGTGCCCTAATCGCCCAGAAAATTTCATCCCTCCAGTCCCTCCGCAAGAAGCAAAAGCAACTCCAACGTTCTGTTAGCGGTCTCCTTGACCCCAAGGATTCCTCCTCTTCTCCCAATGGCCTTGCAGACGCCAAAACCGAGGATGCCTCTACTGATAGAAAGGATCCTCAGATCCAATGGTCTCACATCGAGTCCTCGCTTGTATCTGGTAGAAGCAGTATCTCGGCTCAAGAGCGAATGCGGTTGAAGAGGATATACACGGAGTTTGTGGATGGAAGGGATGGCAACTTGCCGAATGGGCAGGGGGGAACGGAGATTGGGGGGAGGAGTAGTTTGATGTGAGAGATTCTTAGCTTGTTGAAAGGGAAAGGGAGGGGAGGGTTAATGTTACTTGGAGAGGTTTTTTTGTCGATATATGTATATCCTGGTTTAAAAAGCCTGGTTTGAAATGTCCATCTATCATGTTCGTAATTCAACGCAAGGATTTTTTTCGTCACAAAGTACGTATCTCGACCTATTGCGGTAAAAGACACTCTGAAATCAGTAACAAATGCATGAGGCATATCTTGTTCATTTCATCTTTGACTCGGTATCCCCCCACCTACCCTCAAATATCGAGATTCCAGTTCTTCCTCGTTCCGCCCCGGTACAAATACCTTATTTCGACACCGCACTCTTTACCTGCTCCCCCACCTTCTCTGCCTTGCCCTTCAACGTCGCCTCCCGGCCTCCGAAATTCCAGTAGTTCAGATATCGGTATCCCTGCACAACCTGCGAGGTAAAGTTGATCGCGTGGCACCCGAACAGCAGGTAGTTGGCCGGGGTAACCGCCATGGCGTAGCGCATGAAGGTGGCGGAGTAGAGAGTGAGGGCGCCGGTCATGCGGCCCGAGATACTATTTCGCGAAAGTGTTAGATAGGCGTGTGTTTGTGTGTGAGAGAGTAAGGGGAGTGGAGGGGAGGGAACAATACATTTCAGGATCTTTACTCATATCTGCAATGGCCGCAATCGGGATACCAAAGTTACTCGCGGGGCCCCAGAAGTCTGTTTTGAACTGTCAGCTAATGTTTTTCCTCGACAATCCCCAATTCTTCTTTTTCTATTCTTCCTTATTCCTCCTCCTCCTCCTCTCTCTCACACAATCTGCGCCTTGCAACACAGCCAAGTGCGAGTGTGCGCGTGCGTTCTCCGAAAACCGGGGTTCTAAAAACGTACGAGTCGAGCAAAAGTAATCCGTGTACTTGTTTGAGCGAATCTTCGCGTTGAGGGCTTTGATTGCGGCGGCCATGGTTGCGACGTTTCCTTTGGTGGGTTTCCGTTCCAAGAGTCCAGAAGGTTGTATGCGACGGCGGGGGGAAGCGGAAAGGGGACGTAGCAAAAGTAAAGCTCGTGGTTCGGAGTTTGCGAGATGGGCTCGGAACGCGGACAGGGCTGGGTTGCCAAGGCTTTTTTGATGGGGCCGGGGCGGGAATAGATGGCGCACCGCACCGCGAACCGGAAATGCAGGATTAGATACGGGAAGGACATCACGTGCAGGGTGATATAGCTAGTGAACTGGCCATTGGATTGGGTACAGACAAAAAGTACGACAGTCCAATTCTTGAAATGCTGCCACTGGTTCTTATTGTGGCCCGCAGGCCAATGGTATATCCTAAACCCCTCCAACTAATCTTTCGTACACTTGTGATTTAGGTACGCTCGCCTTGTCAGTGTCATCTGTGGTTTTCAAGCACAGCCTAAACCTTGGAGCACTTGCAACGTCTACGGTCTGCTGGACTTTGATCTTCTCAGTCTCCCGATACGCTCCCTGATATTTGCAACATGGCTGCGCGTTGCATTTGTAACTCGCCAATCCCGACGCTTGTTTCTTCTCGTGATTTTCCTTCGTGTCTGCACGTTGTTGTCCGTCTATCTACCACCGAAACCAGGAGGCCCGCCACGACCAGGGAAACCTGGCGGTCCACCGAATCCTGGGGGTCCGCCAAAGCCAGGAGGTCCACCAGCGGGAGGGAAGCCAGCTGTCAAGAGTTAGCAGATATTATTTAAATACATGTGGAGAGACGTACGTGGTCCACCAGGTGGTCCGCCACGGCCTGGGAAGCCAGGTGGCCCTCCAAAACCTCCAGGTGCACCTGGGAAACCACCTCCAAATCCAGGACCAGGAGCTCCAACGCCAGGAGCTGGTCCAGTCAGGCCAACAGGGAGACCACGTCCAGCAGGCCGAGCGACACCAGGTCCAGCAGCCAATGCCGCAGTAGTCGAAGGTCCAGAGTTTGCTCCGAGACGCGCAGCGGGGTCCGCAGGCGGTGGCCCATCAACGGACAGTGAAATTACATGAGCACCACGGATAATGGTGAGTCCAATGGCGCGTCGTTCTTCGGTTTCGGTGACTTGCTGGGTTGCGCCCGGTGCGGCTTTGCCCTTTCTCCGTGTGCGGCGGAATTCTTCTGTGTCGGCGAGTACAAGGTTCATGTGCTGCAAGCAGCGCGTTAGTTTGGTCTTCCCAAGACTGAGAATGCGACACTGACCTTGTCGAATGCGAGCATCTGTCCAACCATTTGCCTACCATCTTGAAGCGTTACCTTCATGCGGTAGTTGATCTAGTCTTGTAAGTTGGGTGCGATTGTGAGCGGAAATCTGGGGCGCTTACTAGATTTTGCTATATCATCGAGCGTCAGTCAGTTTCTATGCGCGTCTTTCTCTCAGGTCAAGGCCTCGAGCTGCTAGGCGGAGTTACTTACCATCTTTCCTTGACGGTTCGCAGCGCCCGACATGATGTGTTTTGCGCGTCCGGAGACGACTTGAAAGCTCGAAAAATAGGTATATGGGGTTATTGAGGTCGGATCCCCGTATGGTTGGCGATCGGCGGGGCGTCTGAAGCTGTTGGTGTTCGCAAGACAAAGTTCATGTTCGGAGCTCTGACATGCTGGCACGTGACCTGCCTAGTCTCGCTTAATTCACGCCCTCCACAGGCCAAATGGATTTCGTGATCGCGAATTCCACTCCAGCGACTTCGACAGCCACTCACGCCCACTAACCTCTGCAGTCAATCACAATGGTACGCAGCAAATATCGACGACAATTTGCATCGCGCATACTAACAGTAATGGCAGTCCGACTCCAAGGCCTCCAACCCCATGCGGGAGCTCCGCATCCAGAAGCTCGTCCTCAACATCTCCGTTGGCGAGTCTGGTGATCGTCTCACTCGTGCCGCCAAGGTGCTTGAGCAGCTGTCCGGTCAAACTCCCGTTTACTCCAAGGCCCGCTACACCGTCCGTACTTTCGGTATCCGAAGGAACGAAAAGATTGCTGTCCACGTTACCGTCCGTGGCCCCAAGGCCGAGGAGATCCTCGAGCGTGGTCTCAAGGTCAAGGAGTACGAGCTCCGCAAGCGCAACTTCTCAGAGTCCGGCAACTTCGGTTTCGGTATCAGCGAGCACATCGACTTGGGTATCAAGTACGACCCTAGCATTGGGTATGTGGAACATGGACAGTAAAGGCGAGATAGGCAATGGCTGACTGGAGCAGTATCTACGGTATGGACTTCTACGTCTGCATGACCCGCCCCGGTGAGCGTGTCGCCAAGCGCAGGAGGTGCAAGAGCAAGATCGGCCCATCCCACCGCGTCAACCAGGCCGAGACCATCAAGTGGTACAAGAACCGATTCGAGGGAATTGTCCGATAAACGTATCGACGGAGCGGTGAAGAGGGAACGAAGTGAAGATTCTGCACGATAACCAGCATTTTCGGTCTCGGGGGTTCGGTCCAACGGAGTCCTGGAATGTATCTTACAAAAAGAGCAAGCATTGAACTTGCGGCCTATCAATGGAGCTTGGCCTTTGTCTCTTATGAGCGGGTCTACGACCACGTATACAATGGAGGCTTCACTAGGGTGAATGTTCCGCGTAACCATTGTGTGGTCATCTTTTGCTCGTTGTTATCTGCTCGTGACGTGTGTTGTTGTTCTTGAAGTATCTCCTAACCTTCAGGTTTTTGCTAGGAAAACAACCCCCCCCCCCCCCCTCTCCAAATTGCTTTCGCATGCGCATATGGATCACCATTGGGCCAATGTATTTGGTATGCGACTTGTATTGTGACAATTCTGGAAATGATCAAACCGAAATGGGTGCTCTGTCTAATTTGACGTCACAAATTTTTTTAATGAAGAGCAAACATGATTCAGTACAGCTCATCCTACTTAAGTTAACCTACACCGAGTCGACTAACGTCTATTGGGCCGTTATGTAGCAATCACTGTAACAAAAAAAATACTGATAGTGTGATTTGGACGTGAAGAGCGATTGAGACGTCTATTAACTGCTGCAACGCTTTGGGAGGCATTTGTACTGAAACCGAATCAAAATCTAACAACCAGTCTGTAACCCTATTCGCCACCCTTTTCATCTTGCTTCACATCCACCGCGCGACTCAACGTAGCAATCTTCCTACACAATACCTTGATCGTCGAAGTCCCCATAACATCCAACATGGGCACATCCGCCTTGACTTCCCTCGCAAGGAACGTCCTGAACTCTATAGCCACCAGCGAATCGATGCCATTTGCGCTTATCGACTTGTCTTCATCGATATCCGCCGCTGCTACCGACAACAAACTCGCCAGCTTGCCCTTGACCGCTGTTGTAATGATATCAGCTGCTTCATCCAATGTCTTCGATTGAGCAAGTAAAGCCTCGACAGGAATCTCAGTGCTCTCAGATGACGCAGCTCCAGTCAATGTCTCACTGTTTAGATGTGCGAAAAGCGGGAAACTCATGAATGACGGCGTCGGCATTCCCTTGTGGCGGTATTTATCTCTGTTAGCCAGACCCGTCACAATTTGCGCGGGAGGGTTTTGGCGTGGATCAATGCTGTATTCGAGAATCGCGTGCAGTTCTTCTTCGCGGATTTGCTCGAGTTCGACGCTGACGCCTTTGTTGATGGCGACGCGCGAGGAGTTCTCGGCGACGTAGCCGACGGAGAGGATGGCGCCGACGTCGATTGTGGAGGCCGTGAGACCTTGCGAGCGGCGATGTGCTGCTAGAGCGTCTTGGTAGGTATTGCCCGCGGCATAGTTGGCCTGTCCGCGGTTTCCAAGAATGCCGGTTGCGGAGGAGAGGAGGACGAAGTGGTCGAGGTCCTTGGGGAGGTGTTTGTGGAGGTTCCAAGAGCCGAGAACTTTGGGGTTTACGGCGGACATGTAGTTTTCGTAGGTCATATTTTCGAAAATGGAGTCCTAGAGAGGAGAGTTAGTGGAGTCCTTTTCCACTGTAGTGGTAGGTTGGTGATAGACTTACTGATAGTTGCATAGCTCCCTGAATGACACCCTTGATGGGAGGCAGGGAAGACTCGCATTCCTTAAGGACTCTCTCAAGGTCGGCTGAATCAGTGACGTCGCATTTCTCGATGCGTACTTGACACTTTTGCTCGACCAATTGCTTTTCCATCTCCGCAACGGCCGGAGTGATCTTGCCACTGCGCGATAGGAACAACAGATTGCGAGCACCCCTGTTCACCATCCATCTTGCAATACTTCGTCCCAATCCTCCCAGTCCACCACTCAGTACATATGTTGCGTCTGACTTGAAGTACAATGGGGTTTGCTGCTCCGGCACGATCGGGACAATATCGTCACCGTGTGGGACGAACACCATCTTACCAGTCCCACGACCAGATTGTAGAGTCTGGAAGCCTTCAACCAGCTTCGAAAGTGGGGAGACAGTTGTTGGTTGTGCGGTTTTGACAACGCCTTCGCTCCATAGGCGTACTGTATCATCAGTGAGCTGCTTGACTAGTTGTGGCCGACACTTCATCATTGTAACCAAGTCGACGCAAGTTATGGAAGTGCCTCGCAGAAGAGGTCGCAGTTCGATCCTGGAATTGGCTTGGATATCCTTCTTTCCGATCTCAATGAAGCGCCCGAAAGGTGCGAGAAGTTCCCAGGAGCATCGCAAAGCCTGTGAAGGTATGTCAGTCAAAATGATCAACAAGTGTTCGCTGTATTTCGTGCACTTACATCGCCAGCGAGTGAGTTGAGTACAACATCCACTCCATACCCGCCAGTTACTCGTCGAATGCCCTTTGCGAAACTCAAGTCTCGACTCGAGAAAATGTGATCTTCCGGGATACCGTAGTTTTGCACGAGCAGCTAATCCCAAGTCAGTAAACAATCCCCTCCGTGCAAATAAATCGCAACTCACAGCTCTCTTCTCAGGCGTCGAACAAGTAGCAAAAATCTCCGCTCCGACACTCTTCGCGTAATTAATCGCCGCCTGTCCCACGCCTCCCGCCGCAGCATGAATCAAAACCTTCTCTCCCTTCGCCAACCTCGCCACATCTCTCAGCGCATACAGCACCGTAACATACACAGCCGGCAACCCAGCCGCATCGCTGAAGCTCAGCGAGTCAGGAATCTTCGTCACAACCGACTGGTCCACCCGCCCAAATGTGTGAAAACAACCGACATGATCCAGGCCAGTAATGTACGTGACGCGGTCTCCAACTGCGACATCAGTGACTTGCGAGCCGACGCGGGAAATGACACCCGCGGCTTCGCACCCGATGCTGTAAGCCATGTGTTCGCCCATGGCGATCATCAAGTCGCGGAAGTTGAGGCCCATGGCTTTGATTTCGATCTCTACGTGTGTGGGGTCTAGGGGTGTAGTGTAGACGGGGTCGGTGACCCATTGGAGGCGATCGAGCTGGCCAGGGGAAGCAGAAGATAGCTTGACTGGCCTGCCAGCTTCTTTCCAGGCTGTTGGAACGGGCTGAGGAGTGCTGAATTGGGAGGCGAGGAAGTGGTTTCCGGTGGTGCTTGAGTGCAAGCGGCTGGTGAAGTAGGATCCGGCTTTGAAGAGGTATTCGCCTTGCTTTTCTTCTTTGGAAATGGGATCAGTGAATTGAAGGTTGACGAGCTTGCTGATGCATTCGATGAGATTGGCAGTGTTAGGCTGGGGGTTTGCGATGGACAGGGTAACAAGGTTTGCGTCATCGAGATCTCGTTCCCATCGTACGGTGCGGATGAGACCGAGGGCCATGCTGTTTTCAGGGGTTTCTAACATGTCACCTGTGACCCAGAGAAGGGCGTGACATTCGGTTAGTACCTTTCGAACACCCTCGTACTCTTCTGAAGTCAGGGTTGAGAGAACAGGGGTGTCTAGCTCCAGGAGTGAGACGCATAGAGTCTGACTTAGATCTTGATCTTTCAGCTCGCGGATTGCAGCGATGGAGACACTTTCTCTCTGAAGTGTCTTTTGCAACTCCTTCTGCAGCCCCGAGACCAAACTCTTGTCCAATGCTTCGGGAACAAAGATAACTACCTTGTCCTTTTGCACTTCCAAGACCCTGTTCTGCTCAACAGCACGCGAGACAAGAATGCTCTGCGTATGCGACACATCAATCTGAGCATCCTTCAACTCCAACTCGACACCATCAAACCCAGCTCCACTCAACAGTGTCGCCCACTGGTCCTTTGATGCAAACGGACTCCACTTCCTCGTCTCCTCTTTCGAAAGCCACCAACCACTCAGCTGCCCAAATGCCAGCGCTGACCAAAAGTAATCCTGCCTCATACCTTCTTGAATCAGAATTCTTCCACCAGGTTTAAGAAGCTTTCTCAAGTTCGATAGCGTAGAATGTAAATCCTCAGTCGCATGAATAACATTCTGTGCCACAACAACGTCATAAGTTCCAGCCTGGAACCCCTGGCTCTCAACATCCTTCTCTGCATGCAAGACTTTGTACTCGAAAATCGACTGCCACGCCTTGAACTTCTCGCGCGCCTTGTCGAAAAAGGCGGACGAGATATCCGTATATGTGTACTGCAGTACGCTGGATTGTAACAGCCGGCCATCGTCAGATACTGGGGCCAGGTTCCGGATTACGGCTTCGGTGGAAGAACCGGTTCCAGCGCCAACTTCGAGAACGCGTAGATTGGTGCGGTTTTCACCGAGGATGTGCAGGTATTTAGAGAGGAGCTCGGGGAGGTCGCCGAGGCGCACGAGGTCGGCGTAGACTTGGTCGAGGATGTCGTCTTGGCCGAACATGAGTTGGAGGGGGTCAGTTTCGCCGCGGAGGACGGAAACGATGTTTGAGCCCATGCGGTAGGCTAAACGGCCTTCGGCTTTGTAGGCTTGGATTTGGGTGTAGATGTTGGTTTTGGCGGCATCGTTGTGACGAATGGCTTCGAAGTCGGAGCGTGGTACTGATGAGATTTTGTCTTCTTTAGTCCAGTGTTCAAGTTGCTCTAGCCAGTTGAAGTAATTCTGAAGATGGCCTTGGAGAGCCTTGGGGGCTTTTCGATACTCGTCCAGCGCGTCGTGGACAAGGCAGAGAGTGGCTAGTTGCAACCGGTGTACCCATTCGGCTGTTAGGCTGTCCGATCCCACGGGACGTTCCTCTGGAATCAAGTCTGCTTGAGAAATTGTCTCGAGATAAACGGGCCACTTGACTTCGTGACACAACTCTCTGCTAGTTGCCGCTCGTTGTTCGGCAGAGTCGAGCGGTGTGGCGCGAATACCAGTGACTGAAATCCTAGCATCACCGGTTGCTTCGTCCCAAACAAGTACGTCGTTGTCATACTTCTCAAAAGCAACTCGCTCAGTTCGACCATGTACTTTATACTTGTGGCCGGGCAGCGGGCTTAACTCTGCTGATAGCCAAACATCTTTGATGAATGTTGGAACTGCTGGGTTTTCGAGGCTTGTGGCACCGAAGAGATCCATGATAGCGGCAAGAGCAAAATGAATCATGCTGTCGAATGTAGCAGGATGTATCAGATGTGGCGAGGCGTGCTGCTTGGGCATTGACGCCGCAATATCTGGCACTGTCACACGCCCGATAACTGCTCCGCCTTGATCACCAGTACCCCTGGTGTCTGATCCATTGCGGAACAATGGTCCAAATTGGAGTCCTACTGTTGCCATATT